TTTCCTGTGGTTTTTGTTGATCCTAATGGCCTTAATGCTGCTCCAGCTGATAATGTTAGGGTGGATAATGTGTCGGAAGCGTCCATTGGAGAGGAGCTTTCAGTGGGGAAGATTCAGAAGAGGAAGAGAAAGAGGAAAATGAAGGAGCAATTAAGTTCAATGACTAGGTTTTTCGAGAACTTGGTGAAGCAGGTTGTGGATCACCAAGAGAATCTTCATAAAAAGTATTTGGAAGTGATTGAAAAAATGGGGAAAGAGAGAAGGGAGAGAGAAGAGGCATGGAGATATCAAGCGGAGGAGAACCATAAGAGAGAAACCATGGCCAAACTCCATGAGCAGGCTCTAGCTTCAAGCAGAGAAGCTCTCATTGTTTCATACATTGAGGAAATCACTGGCCAAAGAGTCAACCTTCCTCCTAGGCAAACCCCACTGTTGTTGCAGCCTGATAATGTAAGCGAACCCCAAACCGCAGAGGAATTGACACCCCCCCAAGCTGTTCGCACAAATAGCAGATGGCCTCAAAGTGAAGTCGAGGCATTGATTCTAGTGCGAGGTACTGTAGAATCGAAATTTGTGGAACTGGGGTCAAAAGGGCATGTCTGGGAAGAGGTGAGTGCTTTAATGGCTTCAATGGGCTATCAGAAGAGTGCCAGAAGGTGCAAGCAAAAGTGGGAGAACATCAACAAGTACTTTAGGAAAACCAAACACACTGCGAAAAAGCGTCCTCTTCAGTCGAAAACTTGTTCTTATTTTAATCAGTTGGGTCAGCTGTACTCAAAAACCCCGACCACCGTCCCTTCATCTTCATCTTCGGTTAGCATGGATGTTAGCATTCAAGGGCAAGGTTATTCAGAGCTTTTAGAAGCCTTTGTAGCAGGGAGAGAGACAGAAGTTACACATAATCTGTCTAATGGGAATTTTGAAATCTCCGAAATGGGGTTCAGTAGGTTGGATTTCAATGGCATTAGTAATGGTAAAGTAGAAAATGTGCAAGGAGACCATGGGAAGGAGAAGGAAAACGACGAGGATGGCGAGAACATGGACGAAGGGGAAGACACGGATGGTGATGATTCTGAAGAATAAGGTAGAGCATTGCCATCGGACAGAACAAGGAAGGTACGCCAGTTAATCATGGCGTGTAGTTCTTTGGTTAACCTAGCAATTTTGATGTGTTTGGCTATTAGCTTGAGTTTCAAGCTTTTTTAAGTAGTTTTTGTTGCTGACAAAGTTTGAGGTTGAATTAATTCTCCTTTTTAGATTAACATATATATTCATGTTGGAAAATGTTGGTTATGTCTACTATCTCATCGAATTAGTAATTCGTATTCATGTATATGTTGCTTTTTTTCACTTTAATTAGGTCATAGATGCAATGAAAATGACAAGTAACCACAACGATCTCTCAGTTAATCTAAACCGGTAACACTAAAAACAGTGTCCCATTTAGGGCAAATTCCGACAGACCTATCCTGTACGCCTTCTCCCGGGAAAAGGACGTGTAGTTTCGAAACTAGACCAAGAAAGCCTGGCAAATTTTGCCCTTTGCACCATCACAAATGGTAGTTGCCATACATGGGAAATATTGGATGAAGGATGCACGATAAGCAAACATATGAGGCCATTTTAGTTCATATTGACATTCAAAGGAAAAGAATCAAGAACCCAAATAAACTTCAGGGCTGACAAAAAGTCGTAAGCTTCCCAATCATTTAGCATCTCCTCCAAATGCGAAGGAGCTTCGGTGGTTGGGGTTGACATTAATGACCCGTTTCTGCAGCTATTCGTGCAATCAACAATCATCGTATTCAGTTCACAAAGCTTTGAGAAGTCGGTATGGAGAAACTCAGATACGCTAAGTTGCCCTGTGTTGAGATCCATTATGAAGATCCACCGCATATCACTGTCATTAGTGTTTGGTATAAGAATCCGTCTCTGGAATCTGATACTGCTTCTGTATTCTTTGCTTCAATTCCATCGCTCGGTTGTCTGAGTTCTTTGGTAAAATGAGAGTCGGTTTCTAATGATGATGCAGCCTCTTCAGCGAAGTCTTCGATGGTTTTCCTGTCAGTTCCAGTAGTTCTTGATCTCATTGTCTGTTCGACCTGGAAGCCTTCCGGCTATCCATGATCATCTACATAAAACACCCATAACTAGGACATATTACTTAACGAAGCTTACAAGGTTTAAGTACTAGTAGTAAGTACCTGTTGCCTAAGAGTTTGTGGACCCTGATAATCAGGTCTTCTTCGTCTTCTGTAATGTTGCCTCTCTTGATATCCGGCTTCTGATAATTCAATCGCCTAAGCCTACAACGGTTCCCATATCTGTTCAGACCTGCACCGAATAACGCGTATTTTATAAACATTCATGCATTGTAACTAAGAAGCTCGTACGTAGAATCGAAACCAACTCACCTGTTTCGCTCGATAGTTTCCCCCATCTCCCTGACATACTCGAGCAGAATTTGGTCTTCAACATCAGTCCAAGGTCCTCTTCTCAGTCCATCCTTCTCACAACTGGAGCTTCTTCCCATCTCTCACTCGCTTGATTCTCTCACTCTGTTTCTTTCAGAATTGCAGTTATCGCGCCATTGTCTTCGGAAGTGAATGATTGTATATACAAGGTACGTGCAAAACCTTTCATACATTTAATACAAATATCAGGCTTCTTTCTGTGATCTCCATCTTCAATTTTTAGTTGTTTGATCATATTTAACTTCAGAAAAATCATATGGTATATCAGGAAAAAAGGGATCCAAGATCAGTTTTACATATTCTTTTTTAACAGAATGGTGATGGAAAATGGGTGAAACAAAAAATCTGTAATACAAAATTGTACGACTTGCTGACGAATTGTTGGTTAACACGTATGAATAAGGGTTTTTTTTTTTTTTTTTTTTTTTTTTTAATGAGTTATTTGCATTAACTTTGTAGAGTGACTTCCACTCCCCTCTTAAATTTGTCCCTTGATTTTCTTTTGATCCGTTACATTCAACAGTAAAGAAAAAGGGAGTGCACGAGGTCAATGGGGAAATGTAGGGATCACACTCATTTAGCATATGTGTTAGACTATAATGTGCAAGTAAAGATAAATGATTTTATAACGGTAAAAAAACCCGTGTTCAAATACAAAATTATTGGTATTTCCGAACTTAACTGGGGATTAGTTCTACCTTTCAGAGTGTGAGATATCTCAGGTTTTAGCAAAAAATAAAATAATACAAAACTATTGATTTGGTCGTAGTTGATCCGGCGTCATCAGTTGAACTCATGTGTTACCTAGGTTCTGACAGGTATGGATTATGCTTAACTAATCTCTAATTAATAGTCATGGAGCTTTGTTGTATTATTAATTACCTTACTTAGTTGTCACTTTGGCACCCGCAATGCCACTCTCTGAAGCTACAAAACAAAATGAATTTTAATGAAAAAGTCCCGGTATTGTTTACTTTAACGAAAAATCATATTTTTATATTAAAAAGTTAATCATGGTACTATTCACTTTCCCTTTTATTTTGTTCTTATCGTTAAAATTTAAAATTTTCAACTTCTTTTTATTATCTTTCCTCAAAACAAATTAAGGCTGACTTGATTTTGATTCTCCGGCCCTCAATGGGGACCGGAACCAAAATACTTTTTTTAACTGAAGGCCTGGAACCAAAACAAATTATTTAAGTCTCACTCTGTCAAACGGTGAAAGAAATGGCTAGAAAACAATGAAAGTTGGTAGGGTTTGTGGCTGAGAAGATAAAAGGGATTTATTTCCGACTTGCAAACGAGCGACCACAATTTAGTGTTCTTCGATCCAAGTCCACCAGGACCACCGCAGCACAGTTGTTTCTCATGTTCGCGTTGCATTTGTTTCAGAAAACCGAGGTTTGGTTTATTAATTTATTAGATAATCGATACCTCATTGTTTTGGTATTAGGTTAGTTATAATAATCTTTTTTATTTTTATTTTTTATGACAATGCGATGTTCAAACAAGGATTTCATTAAAAACAAGAACGATTTGATGATTATATTCATAAAACACAATTAGCTAGACTGAAGAGAGTCCTGTGGACATTACATAGTTAAAAATATATCGTCAACTTATTGACATTGAGCATACTCTTCTGATGATAAACTTTGAAATCTAGAAGTTTTAAAAAAAGTTTTCAATGGAATTTAACAACTTCCGAAAGAAATGATGAGAAGTTTTGTATCAATGAATTTCCTTCGATTTATTATATATATTTGACTACTTAGTTACATTAAGAGTTTTTTTTAACTATCTAGTTGAATTGTTTCTATCACATTTTTGTTATGGACAGCGAAATTCTATGTTGATTTCCATCGATTAGTTCACACGTTATCAACATAGAAGAATAGTTATTTTGAAATCATGATTAAATAATGTAAACTAATTGAAATAATTACTCTAAATCAATAAATTTATCAAAGTATTATATGGTGGACAATAACGTTCAAAATCAACTGATACTATATATATTTAATTTGTTCTAACTAAAAGAGTAATGCTAGAGAGACTGATTTTGTAGACAAAGTTTTGAAACTAAAGGACATGGAAGTTGATGACTGGTTTATCACTTAAACGTTTATCAATGTGCTTATTTCTATTAGTGATACATAATTTATTTTGTAAATTTAGTCTCCAAATTTAATCTACTTAGCAATACTCTAACTAAAATGGCCATGGAAAGTTGTTGAGCAGACAAGAAAAGCATAATTAAGAAGGTTTAATTTTAAGCCTATAGTTAGGCGGCATGGTCCAGTGCTCTATAATTGGAATCTCGCTGTTCATTTATTTCCACAAGACAATCTATACTTCTACGCATCCGTTGCGGTGCAAGTACCTTTTTAATCACGCACTCTCTGTTCGGCTTACTGATTGTTTATATTATTCAATATCTGAGATAAAGTTCAAGACAACCCAATTAAGTGCATGAGATTTCGGAAGAGCCTATATATATATATATATATATATATAGGGTAATGCTAATTAAAGAGATCATCTATAGTCAACACTGACGGTTGAAAAAGTCATCTCTCATCCAATCCTTGAGCATTTCCTCTGAGAACAAAAGAGGTGCAAGCGATGTCGATGACGGGCATCTGTTCTTCGAGCCACCATTGTTAGTGTTGTCTTCCAACTGCTGACATATTTTCCAGAAGTCTGAATCATCTGGAATATCATTATTTTCAGACACTAAAAGTTCCCCCACATCAAAATCCAACATGCTATCTTCTGAAATGGTAGTAGTAGTGTCTTCTAACAACCCATGATTAATCTGATGATCAGGCAGTTGGTCCGGCATGACCAGAACCTTGTTGCACCTTGATGCCTTCGTACGGATAACTGCAAAGCTGTCGGACTTCACCATGGCCCGTGGTTTTGTTTTATTAACAGATGGGTTGGTCTTCTCTGAGTTGTCTCTCCTCTTCTTCTTCTTCTTCTTATTGTTCTCATCCACCTTATTTCCTAATAGCCTTGGTGTTTCAGCACCATTCACTTTTTTTCGCAAGTATGTGTTCCAATAGTTCTTTATTTCATTGTCTGTTCGTCCTGGAATTCTTCCTGCTATTAGTGACCATCTGCACATCCGCATACAAATATAAAGCCAAATTAAGACGAGGCAAATAATTTGTTCTTTGTAGCCATTCCTACTTGCAGAAAAATTAAAATTTGACATCCGCTGTTTGTGTGATTGTATTGATTTACTCTCCCATATGTGTTAAAATGTGACTTGCGAATAACGAAGATTATCTACCTATGATTATAATATGTTAGGGTTAGAAATAAGTGAGAACCTGTTGCCCAGTAGCTTGTGGAGCCTAATGATGAGATCCTCTTCCTCCTGAGTAATGTTACCCCTTTTGATATCAGGTCTAAGATAATTGAGCCACCTCAGTCGGCAGCTCTTTCCACATCTCCTGAGACCTACATCAAATTCATCCACAATAAACATTTTTAATTTGTGCAATTCATGATTTTTACCGTATGGGGTCAAGATGTAAAAATTGCGATTTTTTTAAAATGAAAATAACAATGAAAAGTTAAACAGTAGTACATTCATTCATAATTCAAAGTAAAAATAGTTGTTCACGGCGCTTCTTTATATTCTGAAAACATTGCATTATAGTTTCATTGTCACTACAAGAAAATTTCCTCTTGTATCCGTAGACCCCCCGAACTAGCTTATGCAAATTTCCCTTTGTAATATAGTTCAATAATTTCACAATATCAATTAAAGCACACATAAGGACCAAAGTTTAATTACCTTAATTAGTTAAGCAGAATCTGCTATGTAAGAAACAGAAGTCACAATTAAACACTACGAATTATCAACTGCAAAGGTGTTTGATTTTGTCGTTATTATTATTATTATTTCTCAAACCTGACCCAAAACAGAGTCGTTTGGCCAGGTTGTTTATAAAAAAAAACAAAAACAAAAACAAAAACAAAAAAAAACCTGTGCGCTAGGCAGCTGCCGAGTTTCATTCAGCATTTCGTCGAACACCCTTGTGCACGAACTGCTAAAAACTCAGACAGGGTCATCGGAGGTGCTCCCCTCCCCAGCCAGCTTTCCGGCCTCCACGGGGTCAACTGACCCCTTTGGATCGGTCACTGCTAGTCATATATTTATATCATCGTTTTTCTCCAAGAAAAATTACCAAACTAATTAAACTATATTTCATATATATGCTACTCACCAGCTTCCTTTGGAATCCTTCTCCATTTTCCTTCACCATGGGTTTTGATGTAACCTGTGAGAATTTGATCTTCCAGAGCAGTCCATGCTCCTTTCTTCAGTCCCTCCTTAGAGCAACAAGGACTTCTTCCCATTTTTAAATTTTGGAAAATGGCAATCTTATCTCTCGTTTTCTCTCTCTATATATGCAGTAGCTGTCTTTCTCTTCCCTCCTGGTCCCAAGGAAAGTTGGCTGTCTTATATGGGGACCTTGATGCCTATTGGGAAGTGACAGATCTTGGTACACAATACCCCACCCATCCTCGTAGGGTCCATTTTTTGCTCACCATCATTTAGTGTGATGTATGTTTACCATCTTATTTATCATTGTTAGATGAGTTTGAATTTTAAGATTTGTGCTTATCCACTACACGAACCTTAAAATTCAAACTCATCTAACGATAATAAATACGATGGTAAGCATCTGCTACATTAAATAGTGATTAGCAAAAATGCTCTTTTTATAAGTGAAGCTTTCCAAGTACTTTCATTAATAACTAAAGAATTACTGGCACATTGAAAATTGAAATTGATAATTGAATAAAAACTAGCAAGTCAGTGTTGCAATTATAAACTATTTTGACTGCATTGCCTATGAGTAATTAATCAACCTTTTTTTAAGAGACCGCTAAGTTGATTAAGAAATGTGTTCAAGAAAAATTTCGAAATTTTCTTCATATAATTAAAATAAATTTAGTATAAAATATCCCTTCTACACGAATTAAATTTTTTTTTTGTCCTTAAATGGTATACTAGTTGTAATTAAATGACGCGTTTTACCGCAATGACAAAAAGAAACAATGGTTGTGCACTATAATGTGGGTTCGATTCCTACTAGCTCCCCTTCCAGACTCTCCTAACATTTAACAATTTAACTCACTAATGCTCTCATTTGTGTAAAAAATAAAAAATAAAAAATATCCTGTATTACTTGGTTGTGACGTTCGTTATAACATGAACAAATCACGTTTAACCCAAAATATCTTCCACAGAAATCCTTACAATATGCTATCAAATGCAGAAGGAAATAGTAGTTGATCGCACTAAACCACTCCCACATGTAAAATATATAGCAGCGATATATAAATATAGTCGTCCCTACATCCATGCTGCTGTGTTACCAAAACAATTTAATTTCATGACTCAACGACCACCACTACTACATAGATTATGGTGGATGAGGATGGCTACGTGCCTTAAAGGGCTCGTGCGTTTACGTGAAACTCTAGGCCCTGCACATCTGCCTCAATGGGCGTGACAATATTTGTATGGTATTCATGCACGGTAGTCAGCATTTATCTGCCCTATGTATGAGTCAGGTCCATATAAACTAAATTTGTCCTTAAAAACTATAAAATATGAAGACCTAATATATGAGTCAGGTCCATGTAAATAAAATTTTCCTTGAGAAACTATAAAATATGAGACCTAATATTTTGGAGATGGGAGGAGCAGTTTCTGTTTTGTTTTCGGGTGAGTTATTATATTTAAAGGTTGGTGTCTGTATAGCAAAAAGTTGGAAACGACGGGAAGGGAGATGATTAGGGACGACCTTTTGCGATGAGTACCGTGTTACCCAAGAAAGTTATGACATGGTTTTGACGAAACTGGTATTTGTATGTATGTATGTGTATATAGGAAATGGATCCCTTCCGGATCCCCAAAAACTAAGCATCATGAGCAATAAATCAGGACCGTTAAAATTTGATCAAACGGCTACAATTATTATAATTTTTAAGGAAAGTTTGTAGATATTGGATTAAATTTCAACGGTCCAGAATCATTGCTCAGTAGCCTCAGTTTTTGGGGATCCGGTTCCGTGTATATATATATATACACACAGCTAGGTCCCTCGGTATTGAATTCCTCTAGGTTAATTGTTTTCACAGGATTGACTTTCCAGGCTTTGCAGATCTAGCGGTGAATTCACCAGTTCCTAATTAACAAGGTAGGTATTTACTCCTTTCTGAAACTGCCACTTCTCTCCCACACCACTCCATTAAATCAATGTTGAAATGCCACAGTTCGATATCTCTATCTCTATCTCTGACATTGGTTCCATCCGTTTTGGGATGGGAAAACACAGAGTCTCCCTCTAGAATCTCTCTGGTGTTGGTTCCATTGGTCTATGCTATTTTCTTGTTAGGGCTTCTCTAGCATCTCTCTAGCGTTGGCTCCATTGGTCTATGTTGTTTTCTAATTAGGGTTCATGTGTTAAAGTTTCAAAGATATCATTAATCGCATCGATATTGTCTTCACATGATTTGTTTTGTAAGATGACCAATGTAGAATTTTAACTTTAGTCATCATTAGGTAGGGGAACACGCACTCTCTATCTCCACTGGTCCCATTGGTCTATGCTAGGGTTTCGGGATGGGAACCCTAATTGGAGTACAATAATGGAAACAAAGTTAATCAAATCCACAATAATATACCAGAAAACAAACGCAGTACAGAAACCAACAACAAAATTTGTTTATCCAATAAATACGCATAATTAAGAGTATGTGTGTGAAAAACTTTCCACATATTTTGGGGTTACGCATCGACCACGTAGTTGAAGGATTAATTATGAACTCATGATCGATGTGGGTTTTGGATTAAGAATCATACATTAATGAGCTAGAAGGCAAATTCAAATTGATTCGAAAGAGAGAGGTCAGGCAATTATTGGTACTTTCTTAACGGTTTAATGAAAGGATCGAATAATTGTAATATGATTACATAATAATTCATGTATAATACAGTCTATCATCCAGGCCTATAGACTTACTACAACATGGGCTGAGGCGCCTGTTACTGCTCTTATTATACGCAGTAAGTACGCCGGCCTTTGATTAAAATGCTATGAAAGCGAAGGACGTTGTCGCATTTATAATAGCTTCAAAGCTTGGTGTGAAGTTAGGATTTGTGATTGGTTTTGGTTTTACGCACCCAATAGTTGCGGGATGTGAATGTTGCCTACGAATACTCAACATCTCGCAACAATCCCACAATTATTCTCTCATCCAAGAACTTATCTTCAATTTGGAATTGGAGCATAGAACTTAGGATGCAAAGAATATATAAGTACAACCTTCTTGCATTTTTAATTTTCTGAGCACAAGCCTGAAGCAAAATCCTACGCAACTCCTTTATTCAGTACTGTAATACACATAATTTCGATAATGCCATTAGGCAATACATATTTGTTATTTACTCCATAAGCCATTATTCCTCAGCTATCAGTGAAAACTCAGTGGAGGTGGAGGTCTACATGATAATTTAATTGTGTCTGAAAACTCAGTGGAGGTGGAGGTCTACATGATAATTCATCTTCCTGTTGTGGTGTCTTACATAAATTGTTATTCCAGTAATTCTTGACGTCATTGTTTGTTCGTCCTGGAACTCTCCCAGCTATTGGAGACCATCTACACCAATCACAAAATTTAACCCCAAGTAAATTAGTAATCAAATTCAACACAAATTAAAGAAGAAGAAAAAAGAACTTGGTCGAAATGATCATTTATTAAATTCCAATTCACGAAATTGTTAGTTTTGTATGTCGATATTTAATTAATTTTGGTTAATTAAACAATTGAGATTAAATTTTTGATATTGTAACTATTTCAAAAAAAAAAAAATATATATATATATATGAAGAAATTAGGACAAGACAAGGCCCGTTGCCTAAGAGTTTGTGGAGTCTGATGATGAGATCTTCTTCATCTTGTGTAATGTCGCCTCGCTTGTTTGGTCTCAGATAATTTAGCCACCGCAGCCTACAACTCTTCCCACATCTCTTCCGCCCTGCATCATGTTTCCGATTTCAATCAAAGAACGCATGAGTTCAAATCTGACGTATGACAATGGTTGATAAAACATAAAAATGAAAAACGACGTCGACCATGATATTCACCTGCATGTTTAGGAACATTGCTCCATTTTCCTTCACCGTGTGCTTGGATGTAATCTGCAAGCATTTTGTCTTCAAGAGAAGTCCATGGTCCTCTCTTCACTCCTTCCTTGGAACAACAAGGATTTCTTCCCATAACTGGAAAGCTAGCTACTACTGCTGCATCTGCTTACACCCTCCTGTCTCTATCTCTCCACAAGTTTTTGTGCTTTGGCTTTGGGTTTTTGCAACTCTTTTCGTCTTTAGCGACAATCACGGATTTGTTTCCGATTGTGTGGGGGCAGCTGCGTCGTGTTGTGTTCATTCTTAGGCATAGACCACCTTGTTCAATATTTTTCAAGATTTAGCATAATTTTATGTATAAATAATTGGAAACTTAATCAGTTTCATCATGTACATTTACACTGATTGGTGGAGAGGATCTAAATTAAAGCTCATAATGATCCACCTGTCTGCTGGAATCACATATACTAATCATAGTAGTTAATTACCAATACCTGCTTTGAGGAAAATTTCTGTGTAACAGTACATATATTGTGTTTCTCATTTACTTGTTTTACTATGGGTGAATGACAGAACAGGTATTTTATGAATTTGGCGGTTTAATACATATCCTAATGGATAAGGTGTTGGTTTTCGTCAGTGCATCTCGAATTCGAAATTTTCTTCTTCTTTAAATTATCGTAATAGTTTCAACTTTTGAACCTTCTCCCTCTCCTTAATAATAATATTTAAATATATATATATATATATATATATATTTCATGAGTTACGTATGGTATAAATAAGTGTTATAGCAATAAAAAAATGAATAACAAAGTGACTGTATTGCGATTATAATGAAAAATGTTTTTCTACCTAGCATTACTGAAAAATGTATATATAGTGGTTCAGGTTGGATGTACTGTAAAGAACCAAAGAGATCTTACTCTAACAATGATTGACTGTAGTATATGGAGAGTAAGTGTTGGTTTTGTTTAGGGAAAAGAATCCTCACCGGATCCTTTTTTTGAGGATTCTGAGGATCATGTAATCATGTTCGTTTATTGTATATTTATATTTAATTTTAAATTTTAAATAATTTCTAACTGCATGATGTATTATGAACAGACATGATTACACGATTTCCAGAATCCTCAAAAAAAGGATCAGGCGATGATCATTTTCCTTTGTTTAGTATTACATTTGAATTATAGGTAATATAATAATTAACCATGCGTCATGTGATCATAGATACTAGATAGCACACCGATCATGTTGGATTAATATTTATACTGTCTTTAAAGTTTAAGACAAGTCTTCAAATTCTTCCACATTCAAGATTCAACCACCATTCCTATTTCCGAATATTATTTATTCCTGGGCCTTCTTCAATCTAACTTTCCCAGTACCGTCTTAGAAATTTGAAAGTTTGTTGCCCCTTTTCCTCTTACATCTTTATTTAATTATCTGCCTTTATTTTTCTCTCGTGTGAACAACAAGAAGGAAAAGGCCAATGGTATGAATATTAGGTACCAATTATTAGTGCAAGTACAACGTCAAAATCAAATATATCCCCTTTGCATCTTTTTAATTTTCAACCGCGGCTCATTATCATCATCATCAATTAAGAAACGTGTATGAATTTGGTTTTTCATCAATGGAACGTAGATGCCGGCTAAATAATAAAAATAAGATATATTTTTTGTATCAAGAAGTTTACGTTTGTTTTGTTTGATACAACTCTATTGGATATAGAAGTTGGGTTAAGCCAACCACTTAGTTTAACGTCGAACTTGCAATTCATATGAATGAATGATAAAACCTCACATTTACAAATAATAAAAAATACTACTCGATTTTTCTACTAGTGACATAAATTTATAGATGTTTAATGAACGGGAAATATACCCATGAGATAAATGGAGTCAAATTTATTGATCACATTGATAATTACGTTTCCCATTTCTTCTACTGCATTTGGATCATCGCAGTACGTCCATAACTGTTTACTATGCTCAGCTACCAATCTGCATTGTTTCTGCAAATTTTTTTCGTTGACGGAAATTACTCCAATATGATCGATCGATCGATTCGATCCCATTCACAATAAAAGAACGAGCTAAGTTGTCAACTGGCACTTACCAAGTAGCAAATATAGGTTGTTTCACATTTGCAGGCTTGCAGCTAATACGCATGAAATAAAAAGATGGATGTAATTTCGATATTTTATACGCATATGCCATACGTTATTGTCTCACCATGCAAGAACCCTAAAATCACTTGCAAGTTGCAAGGGGTTCAACTGTACGTAATTAATATTATTGGTGAATTGTTTGATTTTTGTCATCAAGTACTAACTTTTATTGGTGATGGAGAAATTTTTAAGTGTAGCATTCGCACCGTTACATGCAATCTAAATATTAGTAATTGTTCTTGTTCATACCAGATTTAAAGATGATAGTTTGATTCAATTCAATTTCTCACAATCTTTCGAAGGATCGATGTGATGAAGTACTTAAATAAGGCATGATTGGTGAAACCTCTTAATGTATGGGCCACTGCATGAAAAGTGCGTGCGGTTGATACATATTCATAGAATCATATTAAAGTTATTTTACTTTATTGTAAACTGTGTTGTAAAAGATGGGTAAGTTAATTAAGGTTCTAGACGAAAAGTTATAAAGGATTAGGATTAAAATTTCGAGCCAAAAAAAAATCACATGGACAAAGGCTAGAGTTGCGCATGTGAAGATATCAAAAGTTGGTCCTAATTAAAACATTAGCAGTGTGGCGCCATTTGCCTAGCTCCATTATATCCGCCTACTTCTCAGCTAGAAATTGCTAGCAAGGTAAGCATCGATCTCATCCAGTTCTAAGAACCCATTCTTCTATTTGGCAACTTGTTGTTAGATTAATCCACCAAAAGAACACAACGGTAATTAATTAAAATAAACATGTGTTACTAAAGAAAGTGTCCTACTGCTAACTCCAAGGGTAGGTTTAGTGGAAGACAAACAAAAGTTTGAAACCTCTAAAAATTAGATTTGGAACTTTCACAAATGTATTTTTTGGGTCACTAGATCGGATTTGGAGTACTATTTGATTCGGAGTTTAAAAATACGATGTATCATCATATGGTACCAAAACTACATGGGAGAGAAAAATTAATCTTTTATCAATGTGTGGTGGTGATTCCTCCTACATTCAAAAACAAGTTTCCTACTACTAAAAGCTGCAGGTTTACCTCTTATACAACCGATCATGCACTTGCCACTTGATTATTTATAGTTTTATTTAATTATTTATTTATACAATGATACATTTAAACTAAGGTTAGAAAAGTTGGGGTAGAGTGGGCAGCGAGCGGGTCGGCTTCTGTTCTACCTTAACCGATCTAAGGATATCGGGTTGGTAATTATGGAACCGGGGCCGACCAGGAAAATGGGTTGGTAATAGTGGATCGGTTGAGCGGGTTGGCCGGGTTTAGCCGGTTGATACTGGGAGTAACGATGTAAGGGAATACTGGGATTCGTAGCTAGTAGTTGACGTCGGGAGGGTCAGAGGCTTGGAGCAGGCGATAAAGGGCCTTAAGGTTTCAGCGGCGGTGGCAAATTGATCGAGATAGAAAAGAAGAAGAATATGAAAAGGAGCATAACTATTTACGTGAAGTGATCTCAACGTTTCATTGGCCTCATACAAATGGCACAATTAAAACAGGACAAGTGTAAAGAAAATGAAGTTTTAACGAAAAACCCACAGTACTGTTCACTTTAACGAAAAATCACATTTTTACACTAAAAAGTCAATCATGGTACTATTCACTTTACCCTTTATTTTGTCCTTATTATTAAAACTCAAAATTTTCAAGTCATTTTCATTAGTTTTCCTTAAAGAAAAAGTGAATTAATTTATTAAGCATGCATGCGGATGCGGTTTGGATTTCAACGGATTAAAGAGTAATGTTATTCTTATCCCTTACTAGTATATGGGCAGTGTGTGAAATTTTTTTTTTTTTTTGTTTTTGAAATAGAAGGAGAGTGGAAGAGAGTGATAGAAAATGTGTTAGGATTACATATAGGTGAAGTTTTGAAAAAAAAAAACAGCAAGATTTGGTTGTGTGAAATTACATTTCTGCCCATATTTCTTATTTATGTTCTATTTTAATTAGAGGGTTAAACTTATAATTTCATAGAATTTTGGTTGATAATGAATGTTTTATTAATTAGTAGAGATGTATACCATTTCTCTCCATCGGATTTAATCCGCCATTAATCTGTTTTGAATCAAAGTGGCGAGAAATTTCCTGCTCAAAATTTTGCAATCGTGTATGTTTGGGGTTTTTGTGTTTTTTTTTTAACCAATATAACATTTAAAATTTTACCATACAAACAAAAATATTTTAAATGTAAAATATGCGATAAAGAAATAAAAAAGTAATTTTACAATAATAAAATAAATAAATCACTTATGTCGGATTTAACTGACATTACATTTACCATAACCGACTGAATACTAAAATAATAAAATAGTTAAATTTTGTCGGTTATAACGGCCATTAGAAACTCTAAAACCGCCAGAATGTGTTAAAAATATATTAAAAAAACAAACTATCTGCTAGGAATTCTTGTTAAGGGCGGGATTTTTGGAATTCAAAAATCTTGGCGGTTATAATAATTTTATGTCGGTTGGATCCAACATTTGTGTTTGATGTTAGATATAACCGATAGGAGTTCTTTGTTATCCGACACTAACTGAATGACGTGTTAGATATGTTTTATCAAACATAATGGCTTATTAAACCGCCACCGTCATTCGACACCTAAAACTAATTTTGTAGCAGTGTTTATTCTTATTATGAATCTAATTTTTCAAAATGTACATGATCGACTAGTCTGCATGGCGGAAAGAAAATTTTTTGTTGTCGCAGATCATAATTAATTGAAAGCTTTGAAATAATTAGACCCCCAACAAAAATGATCCTAAACGCTAGCTGGTCGTCGGGGAATTAATATTAATAATTGACTGAAAAGCTTTAAAAACATCCCCACAAAAAAAATTATATCAAACCCTAGTCGGCTAAACTAATTAAAACTAGATGGTGGGTGAGGTGAGGAATAATATTAAGTGAAACGTGCGTTTGGGACCTGAAAGGAAAGAAGAAGCTATGGCAACTGAGTTGACTCACTTAGAAGTCTCAAGCACAGCGTGAAAGGATTGAAAGTTAGCTAGATGAGGAAGAGAACTCATGAAATTAAGATAGGAGAAAACCCATACTTTCTCAAAACAATTATTGTTATATTCGCCCAAAAATAATTATTTTATATATGTGGACAACATGATTGATATATCTAACTTGTGATGTATATTAAAAAAATGGTTGTGCTATTCAAACTCCTTTTTTTTCACACATCCCTTGTTGATTTCTATCATTTGATTTTCTTCAGTTCAATCGATCTGACGGTCTCGAATTAAGAGGGTGTGTATGAAATAAAAAGGAGTGTGGATATCACACCTCCAAAAGAATAGTGTTATTATTTGAATAGAATAAAAACACGATGTAACAGCGTTTTAGATTTAAAAAAAAAATAGTAATAATTAAAATATAAAAAAAAAAAAATTTCATATATCTCGTGATCTCATCCGAATATAAATAACTTATCAATATGATCTCTACCTCTACCTGGTCAAAGTTAATTAGTAAACTATATATAAGAATTTTGTGAGAAAATAAATTAAGGAGATTTGAAAGAATTGACAAGTTGAATAATTATTATCTTGATTTTGAAACATAAGTTCATGTAATTTTCAAAAGTTCAAAACAGGCCAAGTTGAATTTCAGTTGAGTTAGCTGAGATTAATTAATTAATATTTATTTTATTTTTTTGTTAAGGAACGGTGTGATTTTTTAATGTACCTGTCACAAGTAAAGAACAGTTGAATAGTACATACATGTGCTCCCACTAAATATTAACCCAATCATATTGATATAAAAACCTCAAGTAAATGGGTAAATGGGGTCATTTTTTCTTTCTTCTTTTTGGTAGAACAAGCAAATAGGTTTTCCACTTATTCAGATCGTTGCATTGCTCGTTTCCGCTAGTTTTCTACTCTTCTTCTGTCTTGAAGCTCAGTTTGGTTTTGTTTTCCAGCAGTCTGTTTGCCAAATATGAACAGGATTCAAGCAGTCCAATCAAACTATTCAATAAGGCCGAATCTTCTATTTAGATTTTCTCTGCTAAAATTTGCTCGTCAGTTACTAGTTGATGTTCCGAACGATAAATTTAAGCATTCAGGTTGGTCGTTAATGACTATTTGATCTAGTGACTACCGGTCTTAGGGCTGGTAGCCTGCTTGCAAGTGTCCACATCCCGGAAATTACTTTCGCAGAGAGGATGCTATGTGTGCTTGACCCGACTTACTTCCATGCATTCCTTTTTGGTCTTTTTATACGAAAAAGTGGATAAATTCGTAACCTACCAACTAGAATTAGGTACACAGGAGGACACATACGTGTTAAACAATCTCTAGCTAGAATGATATGAGACCCCGTACGTTTGTCAATATTTATACATATAATTATAGTCTTAGTAGACATATACAGATTTATTGCAATAATGATTAAGAATTTCACATTCAAGAGATTTTTAATACGGACATGTGCTAAAATAGATGGTTATTGAAAAACATTGAGTTAATAGTTTCAAAGTGTCTAAACGGCTTTTGATTTCATTGAATTTTTGCCAATGGTTATTGTCATATTAAATTACTCATTGGTGTTTGGCATTCATATAGGGCACATTGCACACCATATTTTGACGATCCAACCGTTCATATTTAGGTCTTCCCTCAAAAATCATTCACCAAAAATTACCCAAAGCTGAAATCATTTGACGTTGGATTAACGGTAGTCGTTGTAATATTGTTTTTTTTTTTTTTCAAACTGTATCCGTCTATTTTTTTCACTACAATTGGATGTCTTAATGGTTGTTGAATTTGTCTATTTTTTTACAAGAATGATTTGATGTACTGAATATAAACAATTTAGATGATTGAAAAAAATATACAAAATGAGCACCAAGGTGTCCCTCAAATAAAATTATTTGAGAGTCCCCTAAACGGAAAAGAACTATATACATATATAATTATATATACATGGAAGACAATATTTACAAGCTATATGCGAATAATTATGTATAATATAGAAACAAAATGCAAGCTGTTAACATCGCGAATTAAAGAATATTCCTCCTCAATTTTTTTTTGGGCGACAAAGAAAATTCCTCCTTACATATAATCTCAATGAACATGGAAGTGGTGGCTATCAACATGATGAATAATGATCAGTTTTCTCTCCAGTCATATATAGTACATAATTTCAATGAATCTTGATATTATTTTTCTCTCTATTTTGTTAGAATTCATTGATAAACGTTTTTACTCTTTTCTTTCTTTTTTGGATTCAAAATACTTCACTGTCTCCAACGTACATGTGCACATGCAAGAAACTATGATTGGCAGTGTGCCAACTAATCACGTACTCTAGACCAAATATTGAGAAATAATGCTTGGACATTTGTACTTAGTCATAAAAGGGGTTCGGAATTTTCAAATCCCTAGTAATCATTGGAAATGCATCATCTCTGGATTCCTTTCACTTAATCCACCAAGATCACAAATCTGAACTCTTAAAATTTGATCCAACGGTTAAAAGTTACTATAACGTTTAAAGTGGACTCTTATTTGTAGCTGTTTGATCTAATTTCAAAAGTCTGGATTTGTGGTATTGGTGGATTAGATGGAAGGGATCCGAAGATGATCCATTTCCTAATCTTTGGAAACGAGAATCAAATTTGCCTCTGTGTTATACAAATTACTAAACAGAAATGATACATAAATAATGTATAATAATTCAAACTCACGACCATTATTTTCAGTAGCAAATTAACTTCTCTCATTGCTCCAGTTAATCACTTGGGTTTCTAAACAGATATGGATTTTTTTTTTTATGAGATATGGGTTTTGGAGATGATGAATCATCACCTCATGATTCACATTGCAAATGGAGTTGTAGGACTGTAGATGATAAATTATTGGAGCCTACACGGCTACTCCACATATGATGGAGAAATGAGAGTGAGAAATTCTGCATATCATGAAAAAAGATTTGGCGGAAATTGCGTGCATATTATTCTGTTGCTGTCTACAATTCACAGAACAAGACGTGTCATATTTTTATTTAAAATAAAAAAATATACACTTATGTGTTGAAAAATTATATATGCATTATGCTAGTAAGCGCTTTTAATTTGCTCACATGACTTTTCTTTAATAAACTAATTAACAAGGAAAAATGCATGTTGACTAGTTGTTTTTTTAATGCTAATAACAATTTTTTACCTTCTAGAGAGTCGTTAAAATAACTTTCTAGTTGTTTAGTTAACATTTAAGTTTAGAAAATAAAAAGCATGATCGGAGATGGTCTTATTAAATAGATTTTTTTTTTTAATACAAAGATTAATATTTATATGTTGTCCATATATATATTCAAGTAAAAATTAAGACGATCAATGCTTCAGATACAGTCCGATAATGTAAATATGTATGACCCTCATCGTGCTTGTGTGTATAAAAACCCTAGAATACCAAATCCTTCCTACCTCACAAAACTACAGTTTCTTGTACAAGACTCATCAGTTCCTTGCCTAAAGACCCCATACAATATTTCAAAGCAACAGTCGCTTTCTACTCTGATTGTCATTCTTCATTTGTGGCGTGGGCTATAAAAGGGCACGACTCCTCCTATTTCTTTGTGAGTGTGTGTGTGTGTGTGTGTGTGTGTGTGAGAGAGAGAGAGAGAGAGAGAGAGAAACAGGGAAGGGAAAGCCAAAAAATGGGGAGGAGTCCATGTTGCTCCAAGGAAGGACTCAACAGAGGAGCCTGGACTGCCTTGGAAGATAAAATTCTAACAGCTTACATTAAAGCCCATGGAGAAGGCAAATGGAGAAGCCTTCCCAAAAGAGCCGGTGAGAAAAGCTGCTTTTTGCTTTTTTCTCCATCAATTTTTACCTATCTTTTGCTCTGTTTTCACTCTCTGTTTTACCAAAACCCTTCCAACTGAATAAAATGCAGGTCTAAAGAGATGTGGTAAAAGTTGCAGATTGAGATGGTTAAACTATCTGAGACCAGACATAAAGAGAGGCAACATTTCAGGTGATGAAGAGGAACTCATTGTTAGACTCCATAACCTTCTTGGTAACAGGTATCTCTCTCTCTCTCTCTCTCTCTCTCTCTCTCTCTCTCTCTCTCGCTCACACACTCCAAATTAGGAGACCGTTTGATAACCATTTTGGTTTTGAGTTGGATGCTCTAATTCTGTTGATATTTTACTACAGATGGTCGTTGATAGCCGGAAGGCTACCGGGGCGAACAGACAATGAAATCAAGAATTACTGGAACACAACTTTGTGGAAGAAATCGAAAGCCGATTCTCCTTCTGGATGCTCGAAAGAAACTTCTCAACATCCAAGCAAATCCGTAGTGAAAAAGAAAGATGTCGAGTCCAAAACAACATCAACTGCAGCTGCTAAACCTCTAGTAATAAGAACCAAGGCCACTAGGTTGTCCAAAATTTTAGTCCCACAAAAGATTCCTAGCGATGAAAATTATACAGCAGCTGCCGCAAACCCATTAGAGCTGCAATCTCATCAAACCCAATTGGCGGAACAAGGCGGAAGCACCGAAGAGTTTCCGAGGACTAATGCAGACGACCGCAGCAACATCTTGAAGAACTTTGGCTGCGATGAGGACGACATTGATGTGAAGGGAGATCAATACTGCAATGAATTTCAGTCGCTCGACTCTATACCGTTGGATGAGGCAATGATCAACGACGGCTGCTGGACGGTTGGAAACGGTTGCGAGCTGGAGGACTACGGTGCCTCATTGGATTTAGATTCTTTGGCATTTTTGCTTGACTCTGAGGATTGGCCATCCCAAGAAAATGTTATTGTCTAACTCATATGCTGCATAGTAACATAAATAACCAAGTGTGAATGCGTGACTTATGTAAAACCATTAAAATTTAGTTGTAGTTGAGCTTTGGCTCGTGATGGATATTCAATAAGTATTAAGATACCCGGATGCTGCATATAGATGCCCAAATCATATCCTTAAGGCATGTAGTGACTTACGTACTCTTATTAACTTTTCGTAATTCAATTGAATTTTTAGCAATTCAAAATGAGTATTTCAATAATAACATGCTTAAAGTGTGATTGTTAAATTTGAGAATGCAAACATCGTTACCGCAATAAACAAGGAACCATGAAAGGTGGCAATTATATATTTCCAACATGTCCAATGGTAAAAAATTATAAAAAAATAGGGATTTTTTTCTTCTTATTGTTCTAAAATTACTCAACCATCTTCTTCATTCCCACACCGCAACTCAATATGTATTTTTACATCAATCTCCTATATTTGTTTTCCACTTTTCAAATTTTTTTTCCGTACCCAACGGATAAAATTGCACAAAGATAAATACTATTTGGGGTGAATGGTAAGGATATGTTACATGCCTTGTCCTCCCTAAACGGGCGAACCTGCTCTAAATTGAGAGGCAGATGTTGCTTAGGTCATTTCCTAATCATTAAATTGACATGGTGCAGTTTTTCACCATGTCAAATTGTCAAGCCACAAATAAATATGATTCCCCAAACATGCGTAGGCTTTTTCGATCCATGATGTTACTAAATTCACAAGGGTTCCACCATCAAAGTATATGTATATTTCGATTTCCGAGTAGGACATTGATAATTAGGAAACAGAGGAACATGACACAATGCATGTGATCCAAAAAAAAAAAAACAAATACCTTTGACATTTTTTTATTTGATGATGTAAGAAAATTGGTCCTAACAAAATTTCCTAAAGTCTCCTTCGTCTGTGCCAAATGTGCGGGGCATATGCATGAGCGTTACTAATTTGTCTTCTAAGAATTATTTTTTTCGTCTTTAGATGATAGCTTTCCTTCAAGACGGTAGCTAGATTTCAAAGTTACTTTCTCACAAATTTTTGAGATTTGAATTGCTGGTAGCTACAATGGGGTTGGTTCACTTTTTCCCACGGTTTGATATCTAATTAAATGATGATATTTTGAGGTAGGTAAAGAAGCATCTATCCACGGGTTAATATCTAATTTTGATTAACGGCTGTAATGAATCATTCTAATCATACCTAGAAGGCAAAAGAAGGGTATAGCACTATTTTTAATCATGCTTAGAAGTCGAGAATAACTTACACGATTTGAAAATGTAATCAGATAATTTTTTGTATGTGCCCATGAAATAAGGATATGTAGACCAAAGTTTACATGTGCCCATGAAATAAAGATATGTAGACCAAAGTTTACATGTGCCCATGAAATAAAGATATGTAGACCAAAGTTTACACATATTTTTATTTCAGTGACAGAAGATACTACTATAACATTGTATTCTTACTTTATAAGTTCTTCTAAGGTTTAGTCATGTCGCTAACCCCCTTGTAAGTCCAAAACCATCGATTTCATGACCTGCAAAATAATGGAGATTTTGGAAAACCTATACATAAGGAGACTAATATTGCATTGTTACACAAGATTAGCAGCCTTGTCATTTCCTTTTGACATAGCGCAGCTGGCTGGGAGACCAGGATGAGTTTGTCTCATCGATGAGAGGTAGGTTCAAACCACTGCCTGTCACTTCAACTTTGAATATATGTGTTTTTTATTATAAATAAATAAGATTTAGGTTTTATGGGGCAATCTTGAATGTGACAGTACCAGTCCCATCCTCAGTTATAGGGACAAGGGTGATGTTACTCACCAGTTACCAGATCTTTTCGTTCTTATTTTTCATTTGATCTTGCAATCTATATTTCATCATGTTTGAAATTGGTTTTTTTAGGTCATAATTTAAAATCAATTTTATAAAAAACTATAAATAACTTGAGAATTTCAATGTTTAATTGAGAAAGATTTTATTTATTGTCACCGAATCTTTTCGCTCATTTTTCTTTTGATCTTGTAAATTGTAACATATAGTTCATAATGATTAGAATTGTTTATTTTTTAGATCATAATTGAACAAACATTTTTATAAAAAAATTAAAATAATTGTTAGAATTACAGTGTTCTATTGAAAAATATTTTATTTATTGAATAACTATTAAGATGGCTAATCAAATGGTCATAATTCAATAATAAAAATAATTAATAAGTGAAGAAAAATAAGGAAATATATTGGCTCGCATTAAAATAAAACAAAATAATAATAATAATTTCTACATTGCCTTTAAATTTGATAGTAAAGTGGAGAATGTCAATTCATGTAAGATTTTGGACCATAACTACCCTTTTTGTCATAACAGTTCACATAAGACTTTTGACATCTTCTTTGGAGATGCTCTAAAAAATTTTAAATTTAGTTGGTTTGTAACTGATTGATCACTATAAGTTTTCTAACTTTATATATAGACAGTTTGGATCATCGTGCAACAATGAAAAATGAGAAAGAAAACAAAAATTGTAGAACGAAAAATATTTAAATGACAAAGTTGCTAGCATGTCTTCTCACGTGACATATATACAAGAATAATATATTCTAGAATCTTCTCAATTAGTTTGTCTCCAACCTTTTGGCAATATTAGTTTAAGCAGCAGAAAACAGGATCTGTGTATAACACACTTCATCTTAAACAGCTATATATATGCGTTTTGCCTAGGTACTTCATTTGTTTAAAAATTAAAATCATTTTCGGGCAGATTTCACCTAATTTATAACTGCATATATAGTGCTTTCACGATCTTGAAATAAAGAACCAAGGAGACACGTGCTCGGAAGAGACGAGTACAAGGCAACACATATAAGTGCATACAAACTGAAAACTGAACCTAAAGTTTGCTCATCATCCGCATGATGTTTGCATTCCAACCATTTTTAATTGCAAGCTTCAATTTCTCACTACTTCTATATTTGTTCAAAACATATAGGTTGATTATTATTTAAAACATATAGGTTAATTATTATTTAGGCCAAATTTAAGGAGTTAAGTGGTTAGCTCAGTTCGAAAGGTCCCTTTACCTTGTGTGTCACCCACCAAGGTTGTAGTTTCGCTATTAGTAATCCTTGTTGGTGCATGGTAAATTCTTACGTAAATTTATATTAGTGGCAACTGGCAGTTAGGTGTCATGCGTAAGTCATTTCGGTTCGAATTATGGATATGTCATGACACTGGTGGTGAGAGTAACCAATCTTCCCTAAAACTTTTAAAGATCTACTGGAAAGTTGTTAGTGATGGAAACTGAAACTTTTTATGCATATTAATTACGTGAAGTAATTTCTTATGGATTTGAATAATATGAAGTTCCAATTGGCATGACCCCAATTAATTAAGAAATAAAGTGCCTTACTCAACTGGGAAAAAAAAAAAATCTGGGTTTGCAATATCAAAATTGGCTACACGCTAAACCCCAAGATTTGCACATTTCAGTTCCATTATTCATGTATATCCAGTGCTTCCCGTTTTGGAAGAGAGAAGATCTTTTACGCCACAAAAAAGTTTGTTAGGTTTACTCATTGACCTATATTTTTGTCAAGATCCCCATCTATCAAAGAGTATTTATTATTAGTAGCTAAAATTTAGCCACAAACCAGTTTTTATAAAACAATTCAAATATAGCCAACAATTCACTTAAATAGACTCAATTAGCCTCAAAATCAAAACTTAATTACACCCTTAAACCAAAACCTAATCAAGCATCATTGTTCTCCAGTATCATTCTGCCATACTGGGATTTAGAAGCAGCATCATCATCGACTTGCTTATACTTTGAATTTGAATCGTCATATATATGATTCTCATCATGTACACCATAAAATCGATCCTAAATATTCTCATCTTCCAATGCACTTTTCTGGGGTGATTTGCTCCATCTCCCTCTTTTTCTTTTTGTCTTTCACATATTCATATTAAATTGTTTCACTGGTTGTGCATATTATGCTCAATTTTTATTACTCAATTAAATGCCTAATTAGGGTGCCCTCTGTTTAAGAGCTCATGTGCAGAATGCATGAGAGCATACGATCGCAATTTCCATCAAAATGAATACTTACAAAATACTATTAAAAAATATGCAGAAATACATAACAAAATTTTCTGAGAAATACCAATTACTTATCACACAAGAATATTTAAAACTTGTTGTTATGTGAATTTTTCATCATCATATTTGTAGGCTTGTAAATTAAGAAATGAAATTGATAATTTGATTGACTTAATATCCATCAGAATAAATACCATTTCAAAAAATGTTTAATTTCATCATGCTCCTCCTATCTTTTCCAATTCGAATTGGGATCTGAAAATAATTAAACCATTAAAATGAAAAGACCAAAGAAGAAAGAACATAAAGAAAATCTCTTTGGCGTTTGGTTTTCAATTTTGAGGGTACTTCGGTAAATTGACGTGAGATTTTGACTATAAATGATAGTTTTTATAAAAACTAACATTTTTTAATTTAGGAATTAAATTTCGGTTATAAACTATAAATTCTTTCTAAGATACATCAATATTGGGGGAGTGGATCGAATAAAGGTTTTGGGTGTAGATGTAAACGCTCCAACTACAAGTTCCTTGCTCCATCCATATTTGACATTTTTGTACTTCTTTATCATGATGGTTGTTTTGAAACTATGGAGGAATATAATGGAGCATGTTGAAATTAACCCAGTTTTAGCTTTACACCTATTTTGTTGATGAAATCAATGCATGTACTGCATTCATTGAATTTTGTCAAATTATATACCAATATCATTCAAAGTTATTCAGGATACAGTCAGCCGTTAATTAGCTTTTCTCTCTCTGTCTTTCATGCATGTAATATCAAAATAAAGAAAAGAAAATGACCACATGCCAATATAATTTGTAGTTTTTTGAACAAATTTAATTTGTAGTTAATTATAATATCAACTTCCTTGCAACTTCAATTTGTCCTCAAAATATCAATTTAATTTGTAGTTATAATTTCTGCAAGCATTTTTGTTGATTGTTTTTGTTTTTGCGGGTCTTGGCATGGCCCCCGCTTGTATCTTATTTATTTTCTTTCTTTAATTATCAATAAATATGGTGGAGGAGGAACGAGCGGGATTTTTTCTTCGGTGTAATGGCCCTCACCCTTTTAGAAGAGAGTAGGTGCCTTGCTTACGGCCATTGACGAATAACTAATCTCACATAATATTTCTTCATTTGAAAAAAAAAAAAAATTATTTTCCGCAAGCATGATGATGACTGATTAGCTTACACCTTAAATCGACCCCTCACTGAATGCCCACTTTCAGTAACGCGCGCGCGCACACATGAACATTTATATATAGTTCTTCTAACTTTTAATTACAGCCAAGTCAATGAGGTAGAAGTAGAACCTTTTTTCCCTTCAACATCCAACCAAATTAAGCTTCCAGAAAGACTGTTAATAAAGTCGGGCAGGCTGCAGAGTCGCAAACATCATTTTCATACAGCAACAGAAGTATACATAAAATAAAATCAAGGGTCCTCATAAATTTATTTGACCATGTTCTAATCAAGGGCACTCAATGGCAATAAAATAAAATAAAACCAAGGGTCCTCATAAACTTGCGTATCAACTTATGGAAAAGACTATTTGCTTTAATAAAGTTATATGGCAATCGTCAATGTATTCAACTAATAATGTTGATCGTTATACGAACGTCTTGTAACAATATAGAAAATTATTTTTAGTGAACATTATCGTTATATTCACTTTCAGGCTTCCTACTTTTATTTTTAATTGTATTATAACATGATGTTATCATTAGATTTCAATTAACAACTAACAATATAACTTCTTAATAAAAGTATTAATCTGTATCGTCACGACTTGCTAATACAAATGGAGGTACTTAAGTCTCGTCTTTGCTAGAATTATATATGATCAATACAGTGTTTGATTATTGACATGAACACCACTCTTTAACTTCTAAAATGTTAATCACGTGATTCGGTCTAGTTTTGTGATCAACTGAACGTTGTTGCAATTCATCATTGAATTTGGACATGGACCTTTTTTAGTGTGTTCGTTACACGAGGTAGTACATCACGTATTTTTATATAAACGGTAGGATATGTGTGTTAAAATATTAATAGCTTAAAATTTTAAATTTTTAACCACTTATATAAGGGGTGTGATATCCACACACCCCTTTTTACTGCTTTCACACCTTTTTAGTTTTCGACCGTCGGATATGATGAATTGAAAAAGATCATCAGACATAAATTAATAAGGGTGTGTGAGAAGTAAAAAGGGGTGTGTGGATATCACACCCCCTTATATAAAAACACTTAATGTATACTCCGTGTTTTCCTCGTAATTAAAAATTTTCCTATAAAAAAGGACGAATAATTAATAATATCCTCACCAATCACCATGTTGTCCTCACCAAAGAAAGGACATGAAAACGTGGACATATTTACTGTTTGTGTCTGTATCACATGGTTCAAGACATCAAGTGTCCTATAGTACTCTGAAAGTAATCAAATCATGGGGTCATGAATCTTTAAAAAATCAAAAACGTGATTGAAGTATTTGACGAAATGAAATTACCACGCACGTACCTAACTTTCCAGGGAGGTAAACGTTTTCATGCACCAGGGAAATGGAAAGGTAGATATGATAATGACAATGTTATGTCTCACGTGAAAGTGATTTGTATGGAATGAGGTTATATTTACACTGATGTTTCGGTTTAATTATACATGTTAATTGTTTTAAATTTTTTTTTTCACATACCATTGTATTATTAAATTAAAATGTCAAATAATGATGAATTTGTCTGATACAAAGGATGAGGATCCTTTTCGGATTCTCTTTGTGAGAATCTCAGGAATTATCAAATCTTGTTCATTCATCGTATATTATACGATCAATTTTCGTCATATACTATTTATATTTAATTTTAAATAAAAATATTTAAAATAATTTCCGACTGCACGATGTACAATGAACAAACACGATTTGAGGATCATCGAGATCCTCACAAAGAAAATCCAAAGAGGATTCTCATTCCAATACAAATAGATCTTGTTTCACATCTCCTTGGCATTTCCCTTCCTCCTTGGACATAAAATATAATAATAATAATATTTTATGATTTGTTTGGTTTATGAGAGATTATGCATGACATTATTGCTCACCTAAGGACCTATGAATGAGATCCTGTGAGGACCGTTTAGGTTAAGATCGTTCGATTAATTAATCTTAAGGTAGATAGAATTTAAAAAAAAAATAAAAAAAAACACTTTCTTGTTTTATCTAAACAATAATTAGCGAACTAATTGAAGGAAAAAAAACAAAAAAAACAAAATTCACGTCACACGTCTTCTCCGGGGGCCAACTCGTCCCCGTCGTCTTCCATCTCTATCCCTCTGTCTTTTTTTCCCTATGAACAAGGAGAAGCAATCTGCCTCAAATTTCACACCGTCGCCGAAGAATTAAAATTTTATTTCAACCTTTTCACAGGTCTTTCCCTTCCGGATCTGTTCTTTGGATTGTTTTTTTAAACAAGGTAATTAATATTACGAATATGGTTTTGAATGGTATACTCCATTGAACACAAGGGGTTGCAGGTTGTTTTATCAAACAAAAAGAGGAATTTGGTGGTGCCTAACTCCTGTTAAAGGAAAACTGAAATAAAAGAGGGATGCAAGAAAGACAAACGGCTGGGTGGAAGTATGGAAGACAAACTATTGAGTTTTCTTTTCCCCGAATGAAAGAGACAAGAGGAAGTAGATGATAAAACTTTCATTCTGATGGGAAGTGGTACACCACGTGTTTTTATACAAGTGATGGAAAATTTTAATATTTAAGTTATTAACTTTTTAACACACATATCCCATCATTTATAATGTAACACATGGTGTACTGTCCCGTGTTCCGATCACACTGAAAAATCTCTCGAAGTAGAGACGATGGATGGTGTAAGATTGAACGTGTTGTTTATCTTTCCAAGAAAGATGACAACTAGTGATAAACTACGATTATCCAACCCTTTCAAATCAAAAAAAGTTCATCCTATCCGTGATGACAGTCAAGCAGACATATAATCTTACAACTCTATCTACTCTTAGGACGGTGTTAATTAAAATGGTCCTTGCAAGGCCTATTGTTTGGTAAGTTGTAGCATTACTGTTCTTCATGATGCCATAATGATAGAAAACGTAAATAGTCGCAAATTAGGACGGTGTTAATTAAAATGGTCATCATCACAGGGCCTATTGTTTGGTAATTGGTAGCATTACTGTTCTTCATGATGCCATCATGAAAGAAAACGTAAACAGTCGCAAATTACGATGCGTTCTAAAGTTTGAGCAGTTGAGCTAACTGTTTGACGTCCAGTCTTCTGTCCATGTGGCCGAAGGTTGTTTTTCTTCTTTGGCCCTATGGTTCTCACAAAATCTTGATTGGTTTCATGTCAATCATAACATACATGTATACGTATTTATTAAAAAATACACTAATTTTTGCGTATACGTTGACGATACTAATAAACAAAGTTGATGAGTCTGCTAAATAAGAGAAATTATGTATACAAACATGTTTATCAAGTTGAATAATAAAAATAAATATTTGTACAAGAAAAATGGACTGTTGCTTGTATCTTCTATCTAGAGAAAAGGGTGAGAAATTAACTGGATCAAATTTGATAAATTAGTTTTGGGCTTCTTATTGAAAATGTCGTGGGCTCGCCGTTTAAAATTGTAGGCCTTCTAAGCATAAGCGGGCTTTCTAATGACCGAGGCCCGCCAGACATAGGCTGAAATTTCAAGCCCAACTTAGTAATGAGACTGGGAATTTTATATGGAAAACTAATGCAAAGGACATGAAAACTTTGAGTTTTAACAATAAGGACAAAATAAAAGGTAAAACGAATAGTATTAGGATTGACTTTTTAGTGTAAAAGGGTAGTTTTTCTTTAAAGTGAACAGTATCGGGAACATTTCGTTAAAGTTCCCAATTTTATTTGCATTTAATGGAAATAAATTAATAATCATGCACTATGTTACTATTAGCTTTTTGTCACACGAGATAACAGCTGACAATTTTTTTTTTTCAATTTAATCTTTATTTTTTAGGCATTTTAATTTTTTAAAAACCTTAATTTATAGTTTATGATTTTTTTTAATGTTAGTAACTCTTCTATGTGGTTGTTTTCATTTGATTATTTTTACTAATTTGCTATTTAATTTTAATTTGTTATTTTTAAAGTTATAAAAAAGGAGGAGCATTTTGGGTATTACGAGAGTTTCGCCAAATTTTGGGTATTTTGCTATTTAACTCTTTATAAGGAACTTTCTCAGAAGAAGTTAAATCATGTTTAAAAGTTGAAATCCAAATTTGATTTGGACTTGAACTTGTTTCTTAGTTTAACACTAGAAAATTGCCCGCGCGTTGCTGCGGGGGTTTGAAATCGTAATGTAGGACATGCATGAATTATTAGAGAATCATTCTAATAGCGTGTAATTATGAATCACCATTATCTAAAGACCCACAAAATCTACACAAAGCACCTAATGGGAGAAGCAATATTAGTCTACAAAATATAGAACCCAACTTAGGCAATTTTAAAAAAGCATAAACCAATAGAAATGATTCAACATAATGTGAAAACCGAACACAAAAGTTAACCGTTGTGGTAGAATAAGTATTTTAGCTTGCAGTTAAATCGAATTAACTTTACATAATCAGTCCATTGACATTCAAAATGGCTATTTAGAAGTTTGACATAACCAAAAATATAATCACAACAAAATATTGTTTTAACATAAGGAACTGAAGCAACATGTAGTCCGCACATATTTTGTCTGTGCATGCAACTCGACAAAGTACATGTCTTGCAAGCCATGTTATCACCTCAACGATTGCAAAAAATAAACATAAAAACATAATCTTCCAGTGCTTGCGGTGCTTGTGGTGCTTAAGTTTTGAAGTAAAATGCCCAAAAAATGTACATAGGTATAATCACATGCACCAGGCCACCATTAAATCCTTGAGAAATCATTTTTTTAGGAAATCAACATCTCCAACACTGAAACGGAAATGAGAGCAAATCTCAATAACAGGTTGATGCAAAGATCGTATTTGCATAATAGTTAAAATAATGCACCATAATTATACCTTTGTTTGAGGTTTTTGGTTTGCGACCTACTTCTCAGTGCGCTTACAGAAACTTTGACTGAAGGCTCTATTTTGGGAATGACGGGCTTGGTGAATTCCTTTGATATTGTAGCTAGAATTGTGGATTGTGGCTGGCTTTCCTCACATGTTTTGCTGTCAATTGATGTCCAAGTTAAAAGGTCAGAATTAAAGGTTCCAAATATATACAGAATTCGTTCATTTACTGCGAAGTTGTGTGATATAAGGAAAAATAAACCTTTGTTTTTTGGCAGCTTCCGATTCAACGAATAATGCTCTTTTGACAGTAGTTTTGTTTGATGCAGGTAGTTGGATGTCTTGAGCACATGGTTCTAAGGGCGCAAAGGAGGCAGGGGTTGCATCATTAACAATCTGTTTCTCGGCATTTGCAGCAGGTGTGCACAGTTCAACCAAGCTAGTTGATGTCGCAGATGGTGGTTGTTCCTCAAATAATCCGCACACAACAAAATCCGTCTTGGGAAATTCCTTGTTTTGATTTCCAAATCGAAGCTGGAATTTTTTTGTGGTGCCAATAAATTTCTTAAGATTTTGTGGCAGCATAAAAGAATCATTGTACCCTTCTTCTATGACCAAGGAGTGGCAAGATACACCCAAAAGTTTTTCAGCGTGTCTTCCGATCATCATAAGGTTGAATTGATTTGTGTTGTCTTCCACAATAAAATTTATCCTGAACCTAAGTAACAAATGATGACACATTGCGTCAGATAGTTTGAAAGATAATGTTTGCTGCTAAAAGTATACACGGTGTGCTGCTAAAAGTATAGGCAGTGTGAAGAAATGTAAACAATGTTAAATAATTAGATGCGATTGTTACCATGGTTCAGGCAATGTTTTCAACAACCCATGTTCATAGCACTCAAAGTCTGCAGACATTTTCTTTGCAGCCTTGTGGCAAGAGGGGCACGATTTGTACCACCATCCCTTGCTTAGATCATAACCCACAATCGTCGCTCTACACATGAATTTTGTATCCTGTTATGATACAGATGCATTACTCGCATTAAAACATTGAGCAAAAAAGATGATGAACCCAAAAAGTAGAACACAATTGGTGACGATTTGTTTCCGCAACCAAAATGCAAGAATGGAAAACAAATCAAACACATTTGGACCAAAACTAAATTCAAAATAGAAGAAACATTTTCTCATAAAAAATGGATCAACCACTTGAAAGACATGAACACCATTGAAACTTAAGTAGATACCAAAATATGCATTTATCATGCTTTTGTGTTAATGTAAAAGAGATAAACTAAAATGTAGTATAAGGTTCATTAAAAGGACGGTGCAAACATAATAATGTCAAACACAATCAACAAATGACACGCTTTTTTCATATTATGTGAGAGAATCAAGCAAGAAGTGGTTGCAACACATACAATTCACAAAAGAAGAAACACTTTATTTAACAGCGCAAAGACAATGAACTAACTTTGTTCAGTGTAGGATCAAGGAGAAGCAACTCTTCAATTGTCTTTAATTCAAAATCAGCAGTCACATGGGGCTTTGCATACCCTTCAGCAGAGCTAGGTAGAATCTCAACAGGCAAGTTCAGGTATTGAAATCTATTTTGTACATTTTTAGTGAGAAGAAATGGTTAGTAAAATAATAAATTTGTAAAACGATAAAGAAGACTTGTTGATTTACCTTTGTTTATATTCCGTGAGCTGCGGGATTTCGGGGTTAAAAAAGCACACCGTTGAGCCTGTGCTTCCTAAAACAGGTTTCCCTGTAAATACAAAGATTGCAATTAGTAAAAAAGAATTTGAAGTTGTTACATTAAACGATGGGGTGGTATAACCTTGGTACTGGTTGACTTTAAGAGCAGTCAAAGCAATGAATACAGGCGGCACCAGCGATTTGAGTGCAGCCTCCTGAAAACCTGTAGCACTCTCTGCCCACAGGGTGACCCTCACTTGATCTCCTCTATGGTAACAAAATGCAGTTAGTGTATTGTACCTCATGTTTATACGGTCATTTATGTATAAATTTAGAACACCAATTTAATAAAAAGATCATTGACCTTATATTTTGTATCTGCATGTTTCGTTTTTTCGCAACCCTAACATTTTGCACATTCACCTCTTCAGTTGGTTGTAAGGCCATTAAACAACCAAAAACATCTATGCAGAGTATAGTAAAAAGAATAACGGTAAAGTCAATTACATTAAAACTGCTAAAAATGAATTTAAATGTTTACCGGCAAAAAATATGTTATGGTTTACCTGTTAGTTCCACATATCTGCCAACTTTTTGGTGAAGCTGATCAAATTCAACCAGATTAAACCACTGCATTGGGATGACTTGGCCAATTCTCTCAACAGGGACTATGGTTGTCCACCTATTCAACTCAATCATTGCGTTATGAGGGACAATTTTGCTCGAAGTTCTGTTTCGGATGACACGAAACTTGTTTATCTCATAAGTAAAACCGACATTAAGCTGCTCAGAAAAGAATTGGATATCCCAGGAGTTCATAGTTGCATGGATCGCATTTCCCTTGTAGTGTAAAAAAAGAAACAATATGAGTAATGCAAGCAGGTTTAAAGCATTTAATAAGTATAAAGTTTCAATTTTGTAACCTCTTTATCAACAAACACAGAGTCCAAGCTTGCAGCCTGGGGATCAGCTCCGATAGTCTTTGTGACCCAAATTCAGCATACTCTAATTTCAAGTTTGCTTGCTGGTTCGTACAGCACCAAGGACCGAATCAGTTGAGGTTCCATTAATCTACAGATGTGTGTGTGTGTGTGTGTGTAATGAAATTGATTAGAAAAAATTTGCATTAATGTAAATTTAATTAATTAAAGATAAAAAGGTGGCCAAATAAGTAGTAACAACACTTAATTCTTAAAAGGATAAAAAGTTAATTATTTACATCATTGGATTTATGACCCAACAAAAATGGCATACATGACCCTTTTTTAAAATTAAAATCCCACCCATCCGTACATATTTAAAAACCAAAAGACCACTACGGTGGCGATGAGCCAAAGGAACAACATCCCAACCTTCTTCCAACGGTTAAAGTTGCAGATCCAATCGAATATCCCAAGAAAGTTTTGACAGAACTTCTTAATTCTGCTCATTACTCCGATTTGAAAAAATTCACTTTAGCTTGTAATGTAAATGCGTTAAAATTTTGCAAAAGCAATTTTAAGGAGTCTACACCCAAGCCTGGAAAACTAACAGTAGAGTGACGCGAAGGACCTCTAGCAACTCTACTACCGCCTTTCCTACCAAAAAGCTAACCCAACCGAAGGAAATTACATAAGGTCTGGAAAGGGCTGTAAAGAATAAAACTCCTTCCTCCCCTGTTCCGGAGATAGATATAGCCCTCTCGAAACCTAGCTGTTAGAGTTTTATTTTTGTGGGGGGGTAATAATAAACTAAATCCCCGAACGGGTACTTGAACCCCTCTCCTGCAAGGTATAGAACAACTAAGGGTACTGGTCCTGCTCGCTTTGGTTCTGCTCCTGTGGTGACCAAGAAGCAGGAGCTTGAGCTCAACCAGCCATTGATAAACCGAGGAGTGGCAGCCATTACTGAACATGTATTTGACGTTGTTGAATTTAAGTTTTTTGTTGGTGCTGGTTTCTCTACCTATGTGGACAGAATGGGGTCTGCACCTCATTGCGAGAAACTCTGTGTCATTATCGAATAGGCACGATAATTCGTTGGAGTTTTGAATTGTCATTTTTTAGTCGTTTGCAACTTGTAGCAGCTAATGTGTTATGGTGCTATATACAAATACTAAGCAACCCTATATATAAATACTAAGCAGCGGGTAACACATATGTACGGCTCAAGTTTGGTATGGAAACAATTTTTGACATCTAAACTGCCTAATAACATATGTCACCTCTTTTTTTTAATTGTCAAACCAAAGTGGAAGATGCAAAACATACACTGCAACATAATACCCTTCTCAAAACAGTCACACATATACATATTTAAAACCAATCGGTAAAAGATAGACAGACAGGGGAAATGAAACACAGATTAATCTACAAAGACTCGTAATTAATCACTTTGTTGTCCAAAAACAAAGACGGAATGAAAAACATTTTGTAGAACAATACAAAAATATTCAATACAACAACACAACAAATGAACGTACAAACAGTAATTGTTTCACAACATTAAAAAGTTAGGGTTAGCAAATGAAACCTGAAATCCCAAGTCAGCAGGACGTTTCCTGCAATCCATAAAAATAAGAGAATAATGAGTTTTCTCGTCTTGAAACAATTGAAATAAAAAAAATTGCATTAAAATTAGGCAGCAGAGAAGTCGATGCACAACCTCATATGCACACACAGAGACACAGATGCATACAATTTAAGAGCATTGGAATTGAAATGGTAGGCCAGACAGAATAATAGACAAAATTTAAACTACAAAACGGAAAAAAATGGACCTTTGAACAGTTAACAGAAAAACACAGGAACCTGAGAAACAAAACTGAGAGCAAATGAATAAATAGAGGGGCAGAAAATCCCCAAATCGATTAAAAAAAAGACAAAAGCATGCTACCTAACCAACCAAACAGTGCAGAAAGATCTGTAAACTAATTCTGGCCTCTCAATCACAACATGCAAGCAGATATAAATGCAAGTAATAATAAAATATAAATATTTGAGTACGAAATCAAAATGACAAACCGAACCTGCAAGCAGATATATATGCAAGAAATAATAAAATATTAAGATTTGAGCACAAATTCAAAAGGACAAAGTGACTATGCAAGCAGATATAAATGCAAGAAATAATAAAATATTAAGATTTGAGTACAAAATCAAAAGGGCAAGGTGACTCATCTGATCATGCAAGCAGATATAAATGCAAGAAATAATAAAATATTATTTGAGTCCAAAATCAAAAGCAAGAAGTGACTCATCTGAAGGTACAACAGAGCATAGACGATTGTGAGTGATTTCTGGACTGAGGAACGACGGCTGTTCACGATCCCCACCCTTCGCTCTCTGTTTCTCTCCCCGCATCCCGATGACCCATTCTCTTTGTCTCACAGTGACCTTCGAAGCCACCGATTGAAAGAAAGAAAGGGGAGTCCAGGGAGGTAGTGGTTGTTTGATGGATTCGAGGCTCGCCAGAGTGGCGAATCGTGATGTGGACTCAGGCCTCTCGGCCTCTGGGTTTTACGGAGAAGGGGAAGATGGTGAGGGTTGAAAGAGATGGAGAGGCGGGAGAAAGAGAAAGGGTTAATAAGTTAAAATTGAAGACCCAACCTATAATAAAAATGAAGCACAGGACAAACAATGGTAGAAATGTAAATAATGCAAAATCGAGGGCCCATTTTAGAATAGATTGGTAAAACCGTAAATATATGAAAATCTGGTTAGAGACAAAATCACCCTGCTAACCTTTAATAATTACCGGCCAACCCAGCCCATATCAGATGGATTTCTTGCAAATAAGATGAAATCGAGTGGCATTTGTTTTACTGTAGCCATGAACAGTGCCAATTCCCCTCCAACTTTAGAATAGATAATTTGTTTTGGGCTTTTTATTAAATAAATTATAGTCCAAATCATAACCTTCGCACCAAGAAAACGGAAATTTCTTAGAAAATCCCGTATATAACCTCGTTCCGTCACGTCTCCGTTCTCTCTCCTCTCTCTCTCGCTCTCTCCACCTGACAACTTGATGATCAGAAGTTTTTGACTCCCACCGATTCGGCTCCTCCGCTCTGCCATGGCGGTCCAGTTCAAATTCAGAAGCTCCGTCAACTTTGAATCCGTCGCCATCGACGGCCGCGCCTCCATCTCCGTTCGCGATCTCAAATCCAAGATAATTCGCCACAAGAACCTCAACCTCTGCCAAGACTCCGAACTCGTCTTCTCTGACGCCGTAACCGGTCAAGGTCAACTCTCTCCCTCCCTTTCTCTTTGTCAATAGCCTTTGTCGCTTTCAATTTTATTTTTCTGTTTGGTTGCCCAGAAAACGGGAGGAAAACCAATTGAGACGTTACAGTTAGCCATAAATCCTTTTCTTTTTGTGTCCGTTTGATTCAGAAACACGTTAGAATTACGATTTTGGTGTTTGGTTGCATGGAATTGGAATTAGGGTTTATGTATATTGTTAGCTACGTTTTGAAACGCCTTTCGGTTTCGGATTGATTACAGAGTACAACGACGAGAGCATTCAAATTCCTTGCGGTTCTAGCGTGGTAATTAAGAGAGTTCCTGCAGGATCAGTACATGTGAACCAGTAAGATACCTATCCGTTTGATATATAGTTTTATATATTCGGTGCACGTTTTCAGTTGGCATGCATATTAATTGGCGATCAAAGTTTGTTTATTGTTTCGGAATTTGAATTTATTCTTATGATTTGTGACAGGCCTCACTTCAATTCATGTCAGAATCTTCATAGCAAGGACTCTGTGGATGCTAAATCACCCGCTGCACCGGTTTGTATCTTAAACTTCGCACTCGCATTTCAAGTTGCAGTTGTGGATATTTCTTAGTCACATTTGAAGCTCTTTGGTTGATTATCTATTTAATTTCTTCTTTTGTCTTCGGTGTTTCGCAGAATGCTGAGACCGTTGACTTTGATGACTTTGGGGTTGACTTGTATCCCATTCCTAAAGAAACCCTTTTCAGTTCTGATTTGGATACGGACAAGGATAACTTCATCTATGATTATCAACCAAATACCGATAACGGCATCAAAAGGTTTGATTGTTTCTTTTATTAGTGATTCCCTAGTGGTGTATGATTGTTTATTTTAAGACTCTGGAATTGCATATACCAAACGTTCGGTAAATATTTGGTATTTATGCTGTACATGATTTCAATTTGTATTTAGATATTCGGAGCCTGCTATGAGACGATGCTTGAAACTTGAAGCAAGTGGCATTAGTGATGCTATTCCAGGAGGTATGTGCTTCGATTACAAAGCTTCACGGGTTAGGCCTATGTTTGTTACTTGTATTTGTCTTTTCATGGGTTAGGCCTATGCTTACCACTCTGAATTATTTTATATAGTTCATGCGCATAGTGGAGTTGAACAAATCATATTGCCGACAAAATCAAAGCCTGAAGAAGAAGACATGAATGTGGAAAGGTAAGAGATGCATTTGTTGTATTATCTTATTGTTTGTCTGGTTCTTCGGTCTCAATGATCTGACTTGTTTTCTCTCTTGTAAATGAAGGGTGGGCAGTGCGAATGCCCTAGATACACAGCATGCTAATTTGTCATCAGAGCTGAAATGCTCTCTATGCAACGCATTTTTCAAGGAGGCCGTAATGATACCATGCTGCCAGCACAGTTTTTGTGAGAAATGTAAGTCTATGGTCTGATAGTTTACCGTTGGATAGTTTTCATAAGAGATGTTGTGTTAGGTATTAGTGATTCTGGGCTGTAACCTGAGTGTGATAGCTTATGCACATTTTGTATTCAGGTATTTCTCAAGTGTTGCGAGAGAAGACCAGATGTCCCATGTGTCTTTTGACCAAATGCAGAGTAGAAGATTTGCTGCCAAATGTTTCTCTGAGGCAAGCAATTGAGCATTTCCTAGAATCCCAAAATTTAATCACTGCTCCAGATAATGATTGTTGCCAGTATGCTCCAGGTAGGAGTTTCACATATGTTTATTCTGACATACTTTAACCCCACTCTTGTGTTTAACAAGTTATTAATGTAAAAACAGATGGAGAATCTGGAATTCAGGCCAAAGATGTGTCTCGGGGCGGTAATATTTTACAAAGAGAGGCAGAGGCGCCTCATTCTCCTGTAACAGGGACAGGTTCTAATCATTTATTTGCAGAATCTGCTTTTAACCCTCCTTTCCAAAAAGATGGTAAACCTGCAATCACAAAAAAGAGGCCACCTTGGGTTTCTTCAGAAGGTAGTATCTAACTTGGTCCTTGTGACATTGCTGGAACCTTATTCGATTGTTGTTTTGGCATGTATAACCTTTTCTGACAATCATGCTATTCACCAGGTGGTGACAAGAGCTTCTCAGAGACTGGAAAGCACAGAAAGGTATTCATTGTGAAAGTAGACGTGAAAATTCTCATTTTTATTGTTGGAACAAACTGTTAATCATTGTTTGAGCACTTTTTGGTTGCGTGACTTAATTATTTATAATTTTGGGTGCGTTTTTTGAATGTATACTTGTCTTTATGGAATCAGGGGGAACGTACCTGTTACAGGTGTGGTTCGCCAGACCATTTCATCAGAGACTGTCCAGTTGCTTCAAGCCCACATCCTATGCTTCATGCAGGTATGAAATAGGAGTTGTACGCATTCATTTGTAATTGCGTGAACTCTTGCCTGTGATGCTCACCAATTTGTGGATTTTAGGAAATGCAATCTTTCCAGGAGCTATGCCAGGTTATGTACCACCATACTGGAATGGGGCTTCCTCACCTCATGCCATGCCTTTTGGAAATCCATATGGAAATCATGCGATGACGGCTTTTGGCACAAATATGGTCCCTCCTGCTCCTTATGCTGTTCCTGCATACATGCCATCTATGTATAACTCATTCCCTTCCTTTGGGTAGGTTCAGTTTCATCTTTAGCTGATTGCTGTACGGAAGATATTCATTATTATTGGTCCTCAATCATATGAAGTATTCTTCATAATTGCATTGTATTGATTTTTACACCAAACCATCTTGCAGTGGATATATGAGGATGGGAGGTGTTGCTCCTCTTCCAGTGACTGGTGAAGACTGCCATTTAAGTCGTTTGGAATCCATGGATCTTCATGGTTGGGTAAAGAGAAGAAAAGTTTCAAATGAGAATTTGAGGAGGTGAGTCTTTTATTATCAATAATCAGTAGGAGGAACTTATGTACATTTTATTTGATCTATGTGTGTAAATAAGGGCAAAGGTATATGCATCTCTGGTTATGCGATCTTGCATCTGAAATAATATTATTGGTTTTGATTATAGTTTGTTAATATACCTGATTTTTAATGACTAACGAGTGGTTTTGTCCTGGTTCAGAGAACAATCTCATGATGGTGAAGATGACGAAGACCGTGATTTAAACGAGAGACATTACTATAATGGGACGGAAAAATTACATGACCACAGATATCATATAAACAGGGAAATGAGCATAAGTTACTCTGAGGATGGCTCTACTAAAGGGTCCCAGAGGCAATATCGGCATCATAATCACACAGATGAAGACAGGCTTGCAGTTGATGGTCAGCAGAAGAGTTCCCGTTTGGTGGTTGATGGTCGAGATCAGAAGCAGTATCATCGCACGGAAGGATCAAGTTCAGAATTAGACGATGTGCCAAGTAGCTCCAGTTGCCACAGTGAAGAGAGACAGAAGCATCACCATAGAAGCTCCAGAAAGCATAAGGATCGAAGAGAGCAGTGTGGCAATGATTCCAGTCAGAGTCATCATCGATATACCAAAGACAATAACAGAAACAGGATCGAGCATGAATCCAAAAGGCAGAATCAGAAATATCGCAGCCACGCAGGATCTGGTATCGATCAAAGTGGTTCCAGTGATAAGAAGTTGCAGAAAGAGAGCAGTCACAGTTCTAGACATTCTAAGCTCAGTGGAAAGAGTAATGTTGATGAGCGGAGTCATGACAGGTGGAAGATGGTTAGTGGGTCAGATGAAGATTGTGGAGAAGGTTATCAGTATTCTAGACAGAAAAGAAAACACTAATCGGGACTGGTTTGTGAGGTAAATTGTGTAGATGAAATCGCATTTCTAAACTTTGATGTTCAATATGGTACTTTTTCGTTTCAGTTAGATTGTATTAATGTTTTGTTATTAGCTCCGTTTATTTCTTGATAAAACCTGCCTACACTTGTTGAAAGCAACATATTTAGCGCACAGTAATCTCGGACTTTTGCAGGATACTTGATCTAATGCCGATTCTCTGTTGGTTTTATTGAAACAGATCTGATTGACTCGGCTTTTGGACAGTAACTACTTGTAAATATCTGCTAACCCACCTCTTCACTTATTCTAGCTTGGCCATAGAGGGAGAGGCTAGCATTCAAAAGTTTTAAGAATAGCAGCAATTGTTGATGTAATCATAGGGCTTTATGCTTTCCGTTCGTCCCAAAACTTACCTTCGCAGACATGTTAAAGCCAGTGAAGGTATGTTCTCTTTCAGAGGAAAAAAGGTGCAGAAACAGAAGCCATAAAACGAGGGGGAGAAAAAGAAAAAAAACTGACTCCACAAATCTTCAACGTTTCGGAGCTGCAAAATTTGATTCGCCAGTATATGTTTATCGTTTTTATGTTATATCCTAGTTACCCAGCTTCTTGCACTCCACTTTGCATTAGTAAAAAGATTATAATACACTGTTTAGAGTTTTCGTGTCTAATTCAGTGCACGTACAATCTTAAAAACTGAAGATTACACTGCATATTTTGTATAATGATGGTATGAATTTCATGTTTTAGCGTTGGTTTCTCGGCGTGGTAAAGACCAATTTGTAGGTAAAGGGATTGTACATGCCAGATTCCGATGCTAAAGGTAATGCGTTACCCGTAGTAAACTGGTTACTTTCCGAATTTTACTAATACGAAGTGTTTTTCTGTTTTCAGGTCAGATATCTTGCTTTTCTTCCCCAGGAAGATGCAATTGCAACCCAACAGTCCAACGCAGCAATACTTACCAACTGTTGCAAAATTAAGAAGCTGCAAAGAAAAATATTTGACATGTAATGCAAGTTTCCAACAAACTTATTCGGTCGATTAAGGGCTCGATCGGTTAAGGGCGATGGATAATACGATGGACAATATCAACCATCCCAATATGAAGTACCCCACCAACCTCGTCGGCCCTGGATCCTCTGGTTCCTGCAATAACAAGTGGTCGCAGAGATTATTTCGACGGTTTTCTCAGTTATTCATGGACAACCAAAGGTAGACGAGGACATGAAACGGGTAAGTCCTGGTTGCAGTGTCTCAAAACAATTATTCGACGCTGCAACCTTGGTGTCTCCATTTCATGCAAGTCCTTAACGCACTTGACTTGCACGGAAACTTGAACCGATACCCTTAAGAATTAAAATCCATGGCTGCAAGGGACCTCATGACGAACTCATCCCGACTATCCTTGGGAAGAAATTAAAATGGTTTAACCTGATTTCAACCGGCTCGGTCCTCTCCGAGATCAACAAGAAAAATGAAAACCTTGAACCTAATTATTAAACCGAAAAAAATAATTACAAAACTACGGACAAAGATTAGTAAGTACCCCCACTGGCGGCGGAGTTCCTTCGGCCGGTCTGGTTTTCTCAACCTCATAAGGCCAAATGTACCCGTCCGGGTTTGCGCTCCTGGCCAGGCTCCAGTCGTAAAATCTTCGTTCATCCCCCGATGACAAGATTGTGTACGACTCCTATGGATGATGTACAATTTTAATCAGCAAATGGTGTTATGGGAAAGTATAATGACAATATATTCATCGAAGGGCCTATTTGGAAAAGTCTTTAAATTGGTTAAAAGCGTTTTTAGATGATCAAAAATATTTTTCAGAAGTACGTTTTTCAGACAGTATAATTTCAAGTAAAAATCATTTGAACTAAGAGAACAAAAGGGTACTTAAAACGTACTTTTAAAGGTTCCAAATTCTTGTTTAGCTCCTCTTCTTCTAATTCCTGGCTCATTAGCTTGTCAAGCTTGGCTTTGTATGCAACTGAAACCTGCTTAAAATTAAGAGAAACTCAATTTGTTAAATGACGGTCTCAACGAAAAAAGGTCCACATGTCTTAGATTCGACTGACACTTATACTATATGGAGGAATATTTCAAACTAATTGTGAAAAAAAGGGCAAGAATAAAGGTTGGAACCTCATCATAGGAGCATCCTCTTTGAAGTCCAAGCCTGCCATAGTGATCAACATCTGTAATTGCTGGAATACAAACCATTTTTTGTGAGTTAATCTGAAAGACTTAAATTCAAATATGAATCGGGACGCATATGTGTGTTCGGCAGGTTGGATACCCTCGCCCTTTGCGGTATACTAGAGTAGTTTAAACTATCGTCTTCTATATAAAAAGAAAGTAATCAAGATCGACATTACGTACGTATGCCACGAAGGGCCCGTTCGACGTTGAGAGCAGAAATCAGAGAAGGCGGTTCTGTCGGAGCTTCAATGGAGCTTCCTGTATTGGCTTCGGTCGTAACAGTCTCTGCCGATGCATCGCCGGAGCTCCTAATAATGCAAAACCCGCGCGGTTTAGACGCAAACCTTATGGAATTCGAAAATGCACAGCCAATCTTTGGAGTTGGATTAGTAATATGAAAGCTTTTCTGGGCAGTATATATTGTAGAGGTGGAAGATGACATAGCCATTGGCGTAAGGTATTAGCATGCAGGGAAGCAGTTTTTCTGGTTAATGTCGTCAGTGCTATTTGGAGTTTTGTTTCGTTGGAGATAAGGCTCCGCTTGTTTTCCTACCAAAGGTTTGTTATCTGCAAGAGTTTTATTATAAGACAATGGCTGTACTCGAATTTAGAAAAGAATTAAGCAAATGCCTCCTCACTAATCACATTCTTTCAATTTACTTAATCGATTTTTAATTTGATTCTGAGTCGTTCTAATATTTTAAAATGTGCTAAAATACTCGTTAATTTATCACATTTACTTTTAGTTTTTCTCATTAGAATGAATGAAAATGACTTTGACTTAATAAAAAATTTAACAAATTTGACATATGCTTATTAAAGCACCTGATGGTCCACGAGTAGATAAAATTATCAAATTAAATTGAATGGTGTGTGAGAGCGTGGGTTAGTATTACATACTATCGTTGAAATAACAAGTTAGTTTCATGATTCAATCAACAACCAAGTCGTTGTAGTATAGTGGTAAGTATTCCCGCCTGTCACGCGGGTGACCCGGGTTCGATCCCCGGCAACGGCGTTTTTCATTTTATAAATTCCACAACTTTTGCTATTTATTTTAAGTCAATACGACGTCACTTGGATTTATCTTCTTCCGGTTTCTTCGTTCTCCTCCTCGAGCAACCAGACATCTCCAGTCGTCTCTGTTTCTCTCTTCCATTCTTCAAATTCAATTCTCAGTTTTTCAAATCTTCCGAATTTTGAATTCGAATTGCAACAACTGACACTGATAGCATATGGGTTGGAACGAGGCAACCGGATCGGGGCAGCAAGCCGGCCCGAGCGCAGGAGAACCGGGTCCCAGCAGCAGCAGCGACCCGGGCGTGGCACGGCAGTTCCCACTTGCGGCTCAGCCGGAGATCATGAGAGCAGCCGAAAAGGACGACCAGTACGCCTCCTTCGTCTACGACGCTTGCCGAGACGCCGTCCGCCACCTCTTGGGTTTGTTAATTTGCAGATTACGATTGCTTTTAAGGCTTAATTGAGCTAATTAGTACTTACCTTCGGCGCGTTTGTGTGTTTTAGGTACGAGAGTTTCTGTAGCTTACCAGAACGAGGTTGGGTTCAATTCCAAGTTTTGAACTTTAATTCCTGGGAATTGGGATATTTACAACTAGCTCCATCCGTGGAGATTAGAATTCATCACTCTCTTTTCTTTTGGTTTTGGCAGACAAAGCTTCTTGGGCAAGTGCTTTATTACGTTTTGACAACAGGGTCCGGCCAGCAAACTCTCGGGGAAGAGTACTGCGACATCACTCAGGTTTATCCATTTTGCTTCTGATAAGCTCACATCTGAAATTCCTGTTTTACTTGTGTATTTGATTCAAACATGAGATCGGATAAACGCTCTTAACCGATTGAGCTAAAAGCTCCTTGTTTTATATGTTGCAGGTGATTTTAAGACCTCGGTTGCAAGTATAAATGTTATTAATCGTTTGAGCTATAAGCGCTTTGCTTTGTTACTTGTGTAGTTGATGCTTGATACTTGTGTTTTCAGGTTGCCGGACCTTATGGACTGCCTCCAACGCCAGCAAGGCGTGCGCTTTTCATTGTCTACCAGACAGCCCTTCCTTACATTGCTGAACGAATTAGGTTCCAACTCCCCTCCCACTTTTTGACTCATCTACTTATTTTATTTTAGTGTTAGTTTTGGCAAGCTGTGAGCGTGCTCATGTCTGTTTTTTAATGCACTGTACACAGCTCTAGAGCTGCTAACCGTGGCATAGCCCTAGCTGATTCCGAAGAGCTCTATGGCGTCAGTGCTTCACTAAGCAATGATGCTCAATCTTCTTCCACTATTCATAATTCAACTGGCTCTACATCTGGTCCATCTGTTTCAGCTTTGAGAAGATTAAAAGAGAAGTTCAACGGGTTATGGATTTCATTAGCTCGGAGATGGCCTACGGTATACTTATCCACCTCTTATGTTTGTTTATAACTTGATTGCTGGGTCGAATTTATGTTATCTTTTTTTTCAATCTTTCTGTGCGGCCTTCGATTGGTGATCAGATAACCTGGATTGAATGCCTTTTGTAGTTAACATCTCTGTGATGCTGGTCCCTCCAGGTGCTTCCTATAGCTCGAGAATTTTTGCAATTGGTTGTTCGTGCTAACCTCATGTTCTTTTACTTTGAAGGTGATTCCTGCTTTTAGAGGTTCATGTATTGTTGTGTTACTAGTGTAAATTCTAATAATGAAATTGCGGAAGAAATTAATTTCTTGCTGTCATTGATTCTCTGCAGGCCTCTTCTATCATATATCAAAACGAGCAGCAGGCATTCGTTATGTGTTCATCGGAAAACCATCTAACCAAAGACCTCGGTATGGATTTCATATCCTAATGGACTATGCTTTAGTCGCACTATAAGAAGTATGCATGGAAGGGTTATCATTTGTTGATTACTCCTTCCTGCTAGTATCAGCAAGTTTTCTCATCTGCACTTGCTCTCTTCTATGAGCTATATATATCACACTCACAGATTGAGCATATCTTAGCATTGTGGCATTCATAGTTTTCAGATTGGTGATTAAAGGATTGGCACTCGTCTGATTTTAATTTTTATAAAAGTTCCAATAGACTGAGAATTATTAGTTGTACAGCAATACTTTATCCATAAAATTCAGACTCATATGATTGGCTCCCATGCAGATACCAAATTTTAGGCGTATTTCTATTGATTCAGCTTTGTATCATAGCTGCTGAAGGACTGAGGCGGAGCAATTTATCCTCTATTGCAAGTTCAGCTCAGCAGACTTTTGGTACACACCAAACTTCTGCAGGTCGGTATGTTAGTAATCTTTTTACCTTATATATATGGTCTTGATTCAGCCTATGAGAGTAATATCGCTTATCTTAGGTCAGACCGTCAGAGTAATTAAGCTGAGCCCAATAAAAAGCAACAAGATTAACTTCAAACATTGTCTGCCTTGCAGCCAATGTTTGTTAGAAATGTCATTGAGTATCTTTGTAGCTGCTACTGTAATATGTAACCTTGATTTATGGGTTTATAGGTCGAGATTTGCCTGTGTTAAATGAGGAAGGTAATTTGATATCTGCGGATGCTACCAAGGGAAGTTGGGTCTCTGAATCTTCTACTTCAGAGGTATACATTCGAAAACTTTTTCTCCTTTGATGGTGGTTGAATTCTTATTTGTCCCTTTGGTTGCCAGCTGTGTTCTTGTATAAGATAAGCGGAGAACATAAACAAAATACGAAGTTACAAGTATATGAATACTTGGTTATGCGAATACTTGAAAACACGTGCTAATTTGGTTCAAGAGCTGGAAAACACGTGCTAATTTGTTTCCTTCTTCTAGTCTCAGGCCAGCGGGACCAGCAAATGCACACTCTGTTTGAGTAATCGCCAATACCCAACAGCCACACCTTGCGGTCACGTATTTTGCTGGTACTGTCAGGTTTGCATTTTCATCATTCTCTCTCTTTCTGTGGTTTATTAACATGCTCTATTTGCAGGAGCTGCATCATGGAATGGTGCAACGAAAAGCCTGAATGCCCCCTCTGCCGGACTTCCATAACTCATTCGAGCCTAGTTTGCTTGTACCATTCAGACTTCTAGCATTTGATCGTGCCATCGCGGTCAGTGTTCGCCATTCGGTAAACAGAAACAAGAAACGACTTGCAGTAAAGCAACTTGCCCTCTAATTCAACGATGACAAGGATATTTATGCAGTTAGTGTCTGTACTAATATGATAAGCAGGTTAGAATAGAATGCACCACCTATGTGCCTTAGGTGATTAGAGCATCTTTAATAGTGTAGGCAATTGAGTAGGCGACGCAATAGTTTTCTTTGAAGAAATAAAAGAAATGAAATCGAGGTAGCACCTCGTTGATTTGTTTTCCAGGTGACAAAATGAAACTCGCGTTTTTCTTTTTGATATAGACGATATGTAATTTTAAATCAATCTAAACTATGACAAGGTGAATTCGGCTTTGGGTGCACTAATGAAGCACATGTACTCTAGCCAATGAGACCGCATTGATTTGCACATTGAAACTCGAGTTTTTTTTATTGCACTTGCGTTTTTCTTTTTGATATAGACGATATGTAATTTTAAATCAATCTAAACTATGACAAGGCAAATTCGGCTTTGGGTGCACTAATGAAGTGCATGTCCTCTAGCCAATGAGACCGCATTGATTTGCACATTGAAACTCGAGTTTTTTTTATTGCACTTTTTATGTTACACTAGAAGGACGGAAGGTTTTGGATGTTGGACTCAAGAGTCGAAGAAAAACCCTCTTCACGGGGAATATCGACTGCTAGTGAAACTTAAGCGGCTATTTGTTGGGCTTTTAGCCCACCCTTTTTTTTTAATCGAAATTAGCCCACCTATTTTACCACCAAAAAAACGAAGATATAACGGGCTAAATTAAATCCCATCCGTCTAAGTGCATGATCTAGGAATGGACCGTCAGATCACCCTCCTCCCTCCCCCCTTTATATACCAAACAAAATGGTTCCAGCAACCCCTCTACTGAAGCAAATTAGGGTTTTGCAAGCAAACGCGGAAGGTGCCGAAGCTCAGTGTTTCTCTAATCTCCTCCGATTTCCTGCAACAACATGGCGGCAGCTACTCAGATGAGCAAGAAGCGAAAGGTAAACCCTAACCCTAGAACTCCACCAAACCTTAATTTTTGATTTCGCAGCCAATCAAATCTCAAATGATTATACAATCAATCAATCGTATTATGTTCTGTGATTTGATAGTTTGTGGCCGACGGAGTTTTCTTCGCCGAGCTGAACGAGGTTCTGACCAGAGAGCTGGCGGAGGACGGCTACTCCGGCGTCGAAGTTAGGGTCACCCCTGTCCGTACTGAGATCATCATCCGAGCCACTCGCACTCAGAACGTCCTTGGTAAATCTCACTCTTTGATCTGTAATTCTGTTTGTTAATCGATTTAAATTGAGATTATTTTGATCATTATGTTTTTGTTTATATAAGTATATATTTATGTATGTATGTGTACGTGGAATAGGCGAGAAGGGAAGAAGGATTAGGGAGCTGACATCTATTGTTCAGAAGCGGTTCAAGTTCCCGGAGAACAGCGTCGAGCTCTATGCTGAGAAGGTGAACAACAGAGGACTCTGTGCCATTGCTCAGGCTGAGTCTCTTCGTTACAAGCTCCTCGGAGGTCTTGCTGTTCGCAGGTTCAATTCGTTTTTCAATTTTATGTATCTTGATACAAAATTTATGTTAGTAAATTGCTCATTCCATATATGCTTTTTAGCTTAGGATTGATAAATACTTGTTCTTTCCTGGTTTTAATTATTAGATGGAAATTTTTTAATCATTGAATGATTCCGAATCACGTTTTCACCACACATTACATGATGCATGAGCATTGTTTTTTTTTTTTGGTACTTTATACCCGTATCTCGTTGCCCCATGATCCTTGGAGATGATTTAATCACAATGCTCAAAGAAAACCTTTGTTGGAGTTTGTCAGCCTTCTTGTGCTACTGCTAAGGTGCTTGGTGGAATATTCTCCTGCATCTTTTTAGAGTGCTTGAACTAGTTTTCACTTATATATATGTACATATTCGACTGTACATGTGTGCTGAGATATTTTGTTTTTATAGGGCTTGTTATGGTGTGTTGAGATTTGTCATGGAGAGTGGTGCAAAGGGATGTGAGGTATGCCTTAGTACACTATTTTCCTTCCGGACAATTATTGAAGCCATTGTTGTCAGGGTGTTAGAATGGCTTCTGAAAATCTAATCTTTCACATAGGTTATTGTGAGTGGAAAGCTCAGGGCAGCGCGTGCCAAGTCCATGAAGTTTAAGGATGGCTACATGATTTCCTCTGGTCAGCCCGTCAATGAGTACATTGATGCCGCTGTGAGGCACGTTCTTCTTAGACAGGTTAGGTTCCTCACCTGAACTTGTTTTGTTGCAAGTGAAGTGATCCCATGATTTTGTTTCTTTTTCTTTTCAATAAGTAAAGTTAATTGTGTCTTTGCTCTCGCAACTGCAACAGGGTGTGCTTGGTATTAAGGTGAAGATCATGCTCGACTGGGATCCTAAGGGCAAGCAGGGACCAATGACTCCATTGCCTGATTTGGTGACCATCCACACCCCCAAGGAAGAACAATACCTTCCAGTTCCACCTGCAGCAATCGACATAGAGCCAGTTCCAGTTGCAGTAGCTTAAACGGAGTTTAGTTGTTGCGGTCTGTTTTTCCAAGACATTGTTATGTAGTATTATGTTAGCAAACAGGGTTTTGTTGAAATCAGTAGAGGAAAATTACTATTTTGTTGTTTGATCAACTCCTCGGATTTGCGTATTTCAGTTTTGTTCACATTATTTTTGTTTTTAAATGAGTGATAAATGCTGGTGAATTGCGTCTCTGTTATCTGTAGATTTCGTTTCGGTTACGGTGTTCTAGGAACTCCTTTGGTGCTTTCTATGGGCCGAGTTTTGTGTAAATCTAGGGTGCGCTGGGATTTTAAATGTCGAAATTTGGGGCATCTTTTTGGGATTGAGCTTGCGTGGAGTTTAGGGGTTGGGAGATGTTAGTATGCAACATTTTGGTGAAGCTTGTGAGATGTTAGTATGTAACATACTCTGAACCCTTGATACTGATTGCTTTCATATTTCCTCAAGGAGCCGTGAGGAATACGTACCCTTCACCACTGCATCTTCTCGAGCATTTAAGGTTGTGATAAATTCTTCGACGGCGGGGAGAGGTTCTGACTTGGACTCCCTGCGGTGGAGGGCACCAACTCTGGGGAGTTTGTGTATCAATGATACACAAATCTTTGCAGATTGTTGGCAATTAATGTAACTCACTCATGTCGATAGTGAATTTCACATTAACTGATGGACATGGGTTTAGGTTTTACCAGTTAAATACAATCATGCATGTGTTGTTTTCATACGGCCGGTCAATTAGATTAGCTTAATTACAAGTTTATTATATTATTTTAGGTAGGAATTAGACAATAAGCATAAAGGCAAAGATATTAATTAATTGAGCAGCCAGGCATGAGGGGAGGTCACGAATTTTCCTTTTATGCATGCCCTGATCGATCACTTTTTACCATTTTTTTTTTCTAGCACTGAAATTCTATGCAGGCTTCCGTCCATATCATGGAAGCCAATTTGAGTTTTGGTCCCTCTTCACTAACTCTTGTGTTCTCTTTAGCAATTATACTCTCTCAACTGACAAGGCATCTGTATTGTATGATGTACGATTATTACACATTGCTCCACTGAGATTTTGTAGCATGTTTCATGGTGGCGTATACACTAGGTTTTCACTTTTGTCCATATGAAGATTTAACGTCTAAAAATCTCGATGTATAAAATACATTAGAACATAGTAGAATTTTCGCACTCCACGTAAAGCATATCTAATGTGTTGGGTAAGGGTTAGCCAACCAATTTTTTTTGTTTTTGTTTTTGTTTTGTTTTAGTGGTGAGGAGCTAGATGCTAGGCTTCTAACTGTTAAGTGGGTCTCATGCTGCTCAAAGTTTGGGAGGCAGATTGTCTGCCCTCATGTTTGGTTGTCTTTTTCATCCTCTCATATTTTGTGCGGTCGTGATAAAATCACATCAACATTTTATATTCCTATTGTTTTTTGTCTTATTCTCTCTATAAAAAAAAAATCAATATAAAATGTTGATGTAGTTTAATCGTGACTGCACAAAATAGGAGGCGATGGAAAGGGCACCCAAACAACAGGGCAGACACTCTGCCTCCCAAAGTTTGAGCCGAGGCTAGTTCGGTCTCGCAAAGTGCCTAGACTTTAAATTTCCGAAGTAAATTTTGTTGCTAGAAGTCGATTTTCAATTTTGAGGCAAGATTATCAATTTGACTAGGTCATAAGCTCTCCTATTAGAGTCTTTGAAGGAAGAAAAATAACCTTATCAGATTGACATCATTGACAGGTCAGCTTCCAGTTGCAGCAACTAGGAAACCCTAATAGAACGTGTGCAAGACAATTTGACGGCATGCCACTCAAGAGCATCTCACTTTTTACGACAGCAACATCGTGAGCAGAAAGGTTTGTAAGTTTTTGGAGCACCAAAGCAAGCACAAAACCCACATCTGCCCGAAAGTGATAAAAGATTGAAAATTGACAGTGGGTTTTGTCCTCAATCCCATTTTGTTTTTGTGGAAATCCAAATTGGGGGAAAGAACCTTATCATGCAGAGACAGATAGATTGATATTCTGGTAATATATGGTGGGAAGCACCAAGCACGCCTCATCACTCAAATGTTACTGCTGACCAAGAAGAGTCATGATACAAATTATTGGCTCACCTTTATTTTCTAACATATGTTCTTTGTGTGCGTGTGTGTGTAATTTAATGTTTCTTTTGGTGGATTTGTAGATTAATACCAATTGTGTGTCATTGCTCATTATCTTCTGAGGTTTCTTCAAATGAAATTCAAAATATTCTCATTGCAAAGTCCGAATGCATAATCTCATATCGTTTGTTTTGAAAGTATTGAAGTGTTTATATGTAATCAATTAAACGCATGATCATAGAGAAGTTTTTTGTCATATTAACGGTCATAATCTCATATCGTTTGTTTTGAAATAACATAACAAGTCAAATTATTCGAGGAAAAAAGATGAATTTTCAATTTGTATATAACATTATTCCATAACCTAAAGTGCTTTTGAAACTCCATGTGTTTATCAGAAACGATGCACGACAGTGTAGGATGGTTCCCACGAAAATCTATGTGAAATAGTTGCCAGCAGCTAACAGGTTTAATATCTCTTCAATAAAGTCATGTATGACCATGTTCTACATAAGGTCAGTAAATTTAAGTACTCAATGTTTAAGTGAGAATTCTGTATAAATAAGCATATCCAACATCTCAAAAGATCCAAATCCCGCAGAAGTAAAAAATTGCGCAGTAACTAGTATATTGCTTGAAGATAAACACACACACAAGATATAATATATATATATATATATATATATATATATATATTATATCTTCCTCTGAATACAAACTTTCAAATTGACCCTTTTCCATGGAAATATATTGAAATACAGAAAAGGTTTGACTTGGCGTGGGAACCAGTAAAGTACCTATTAGACTATGAAAGGTAAAGCCATTGACTTAACCCTAAATCTAAATATATATGATTGTGAGCCGCCCTTACAATGAACAAAGACCACAACGCCTTATGGTGGTGGGTTTGATGCCAAAATATCTTTTGGTACCCTCGTCTCCCCATTAAGAGGTTTCAACTTTCGACCCAACAACACCCACACTTCCTTTTGGGATCCTTTGCCTACTCTATGTATTCAAATGACCGTTGTGCCCCTTCATGCTAAAAAAAATTACAATTTATTTTCGTTGAAACATGTGACATCTTTTAACATTAAAAAGAGAAGTACTGCTAAATCATGTACTAGTTAGTCTAGAGAAATGATACTTCGTTTACTTTGTAATCTTATTACTGTCGAAATTAACAAAGCTTGATTAGGATAGGAATTAAAATATGGTGTAACCACATTATCTAGTTCCTATAATAATAAAGGTGATATGTTTAGTGATTTTTGTCCCAAGTGACTAGCTCTTTTTTCTTTCTATCCTTCCTTCCTCTCCCTTTCCTCCATGAAAGCAATCAGATAGGGCTTCAAGTCAAGGCATTGTTTCAAGAACCCCTAGTGGAGAGAGATATGTAAGATCACGGTGGCTTGCAGCTTCTAAGGAAAAACGTCACCAAAATATTAAAAGTGAATATGCAATTTGAGTCACCCTAATGTTATAGAATTTTTTTTAAGGGTTGGAATAAGGTGGTGTGATGAATGTCTCAACATAAATTTTATAAGCCAAAGAAGAACTGATCCACACCTGCTCGTATTTAATCTTATGAGCTTGTTTATCACGGCTTTTGTAGAGAGAAATCTGTAGCGATCTTTCTTCAAGTCCAGGTATAAAGACATGAAACGTTAACGTATAAATTAAGATCTAAAACACTGCAGTTCTCTTTGAGTATCTCCAGCAATTTTACATGTTTCAAGTTACCCTACTAGTTCTCTCAATTTCAAATGTGAACTCCTGCTTGCAAATATGTACAGTAGCGAAAGGTTTTTAGCCTTTTGGTATAGTACGAAGGCAAATGGGTGATATGGTCATTTGATACATGGCATGAAAGACATCAAACAATGCACACAAGAATAAACAAAGTAAAGAAGAAAAAGAAACATGGGATCGATGAGATGATGAAGAAGAAGCTAATGAAAACCAAGTGTCCAATAGTGGGTATTCCACAAAAATAGCTTAGTGGAGTCACCCCACGCTCACTTGAAGACGCCTCCCCTCATCTATCTCTCCCACATTAGCAAATGCAGGGCCACAGGTTATCTTCAAGTAGGAAATGTGATGTATCCAAAACACTATCACGTGATATTACCATATTTATTATAATATAAATTAATGAACGGAAAAATTACATTGACATCTAGTACTTCTAGAGCATATTAATAAAAAAATGAATATATATATATCTGTGTGTGTGTGTATATATATATATTACAATTTGAGTACAATAATGTTATCGCACTGGCCTTCGCATACATAGAAAATTTACTCATGCCAAACATGGATATGGGCGCCATCTACTCCATGAAATCCCTCTCAAGCTTTTGCTTAGTGGGACATGCTCACACCACACTACGCAGGCCAATTTCATAGTTGTGGGCAAGTAATCAGAAGCAAACAAGCAAATGGATAACTCACCAACCCATCGCGTGCACTCTCACAACATAATTTTGGGTGCGCAAAGAAACGTATGTTAGAACGTTTTGCAAAAGGTCATAATCCCAAGTGGGTCCTACGTTTGTGCTTTTGTCCCATACGATCTCGCCACATGTAACTTTTGTACACTTGGCCGTGCCAACTGCGCTCCTACGCGTGCGTTTCGTTTCATGGGAGGGACACCAACTTTGGTATCCAGCACGTTTTATAATGACTGCAAATTACTTGGTGTACTGTTCGCATCACTATGTTTTTTCCTAGAACTTGCTCAATCCACCTCCTAATCCCACTCTTGATCCTATTTATCTGAATTTGAAGCTAATTCTTAATTCAATGTGATTAACCTGTTATAACACTGTTGTAATTTATTAACACACTATTTAAGAACATTTCACAATAACGAATAGAAATGCTTGGATTTCGACCAAAAAAATAAAAATAGAAATGCTTGGACAAAATCCTTACAACAGAATTCAGATTTTTATATTTTTTTCGGAAAAAAAAAAAAGACGAAGAAAATTTTTATATTGAAGGCATGGGTTACATGCTAATTTTGTTTGTGGGAAGTGCAACATAAAGTTCGTGATATTGCTAGCTAGTGACAAAATCATTACCCGTGCTCGTCATAATCTACAGATTCTCCTGGTTTACCAATTACCATTTACCAGTGCATAGATTTGATCTTTTATTTGTTTGTTTGTTTGTTTATTTATTTGGGTGCCTTTATAGTTTATAAAGTCTACTGTGCCACTATATAAAGCAGCTAACCCCCTCCCCTTTCTGTCATCCTGTACTGCAAGTGCAAACCCTCTCATTTCCTCTAAGTCCTATTCCAAACCCTAATATTCTTGTCTTGGTTTTTGCTCTAATTTTCAAAAATGGGTGAGGCAGTTGAGTTTTTCCATACAAATGGTAATGGTTTCTGCAAGTTCAGTGAAAATTTTGATCCTAAAGCCGTAGTACTACTTAACGGTAGCAACCACGTAGAGAGAGATAGAGATAGTTCCTGGTACGAAGAAACCATCGACGACGACCTCAAATGGTCATTTGCTCTCAATGTCAACGGGTTCGTAAATTTTCACATCTTTCTTTTTTTGTTGCTAAGGTTTCGAACGATGGATCTCTAGCCTACTCCTTCACAACTTCTTCACAACTTGTTAGTTAGTTAATATGCATCTCCGAGTCGTTAGGGTTTTCTCATTAAGTCTATGATGGTCTATCTCTGCAGTGTGCTGCATAAAGGGACTAGCGAGTATCAGGAGATAGCTTTATTGGACACAAAGCGTTTCGGGAAGGTTTGTGATTTTTCTCTTTTTAAGCGTTAGAAAATGTCTTAAGTTTGATCCTCATTTTGAACGTTCTTTCCTTTTTGATAATACTAACGGGAAGTTGATGCAGATATTGTGTTTATATTTATATACAGGTGTTGGTGATTGATGGGAAGATGCAAAGTGCAGAAGTGGATGAATTTATTTATCATGAGTGCTTGATACATCCTGCACTCTTATGTCACCCAAAGTTAGTCCTCCTCCATATTAACATTCATTTAATTACTTGTTCACCATGTAATTATATAGGTGCTCTTATTGCTAGCTGGTACTTCAGCATGTTTTTAGAATATTTAGATTTTTTTCTTTTGTTGAATGATTTTGCTCTTATTGCATCCATCTTCAACTAATTAATTAAATTTTAAAAAGTGCAGGCCTAAAAATGTATTCATAATGGGAGGTGGGGAAGGGTCAGCTGCAAGGGAAGCACTCAAGCACAAATTGCTGGACAAAGTTACCATGTGTGATATCGATCAGGTAACTAAGCATAATATGGTAAAAGTTGTGTGATTTTGGTAAACATAAACCAAGTTTAAGGTAAAAGACGGAAAATAAACACAACAATTTGAGCTACCTATATGTTGCAGGAGGTGGTTGATTTCTGCCGCAGGCATTTGACACTGAATCAGGAGGCATTTTCTCACCATAAGCTGAACCTTGTGATTAATGATGCCAAGTAAGTGTATAATTAGCTCCTTCTGTAAACTGTTATCAACACTCGGAAATAGTCATCCTAACCTCTTACGCATAATGTCGTTATTAAAGGACTGAATTGGAGAAGAGTTGCAAAAAATTCGATATCATAGTGGGAGATTTAGCAGACCCAGTTGAAGGAGGACCTTGCTATCAACTCTACACAAAATCCTTCTATGAGAAAATTCTTAAACCTAAGCTTAATCATGGTGGCATTTTTGTGACCCAGGTAAATTATATTTGCTATGGCAATATATGCCTGCTTCTTTTTAGCATTTTGCAGGAAATAAACATAGTAATTACATTTTATATGCAGGCTGGTCCAGCAGGCATTTTTACCCACAAAGAGGTCTTCACCTCTATATACAACACAATTAAACAGGTCTTCAAGTGTAAGTCTCCCACAAATATATATATATATATATATATATATATATATATATATATATAGGGTTTTCTCCAGTGCGTTTGAGTGCACTTTCTTTATAATGCAGATATTGATACGTCGTTGATAATATTGATATTGTTACTACTTTGAATCGATATTAATATCGTTGTTGTTCTAATTCATTTCTTTTTTGTGAATTCTTTTCAATGTTTGTGCAGATGTGGTGCCATATGCAGCTCACATACCATCTTTTGCAGATACATGGGGATGGGTTATGGTATGTTAATTAAGTACACACTATTAGCTTAATTAATTTGACAGAAATGCATTGGTATTAACAGTAATAATTAATGTCTAACATATGCTAATCAGGCCTCCGATGAACCTTTCTCTATCAATGCTGAAAAAATGGACAGAAGAATTGAAGAAAGAATTGATGGGGAGCTAAACTATCTGAATGGTGCTCTGTTCATCTCCTCTGCTACCATGAACAAAACCGTTTCCTTATCGTAAGATCACTTCCTTTTTACAATCATACTATATGACATCTAAATATTACGGAAGCTGTAATTAGTACTCCAAATTAGTTATCATGCACTCTTGCACTCTTTTTTAAGTTATTATTATCATTATATAAGGAGCGTAATTTTTGGAATGTGAATAACAGCTCCCGGTATTAATATTATTGCTCGATTCCAATTAATTTCTGTGAAAATGCCATTTTTATTAGGTTGCTGAATGAAACTCATGTCTACACTGAGGAAGATGCTAGATTTATTCATGGACATGGGGTGGGTTACCGCATTAACTGAGGTCTCAAGAAATTGGTTGGGGGAATTGCTGTACGGCCAAAAAAAGAAGTGAAGAAGAATGGGAGTTTTTACAGTTATTAATTTTATCCAAAAAAAAGAAAAAAAAACAATATAAAAAGAAAAATCAACAATTGTTTGCAGCATTTGGTTTTACACTAAATAATTATGTTAGCTTCATTGGGTTGTTCATAGGGTTTCAAAAGTGAGATTTTCTCTTTGGTAAGCTTGTTTTTATCTTTTTATGAATGAAGAAAACTGAGGCACTCCCTCCTTCCATCCTAAGATTTATTGGAAAGTGTTTGAAGCTAGGGAAATTAATATGAATTGAAAAGGATTGATACTAACAGACAATAAGCCGTATCACTGTATAGCGTCATTTTCGCTGTTTGTTTTGTATCCTTCCAATTCTGTTTTTGCGTATTTTCTGTTATAATTGTTATAAACAATGAAAACCAAATCACTTGAAAAACCACATTTCATATAATCATCCAGAGTTGCACAGTATGTAGAATTAACCAAGAACAATATACAAATAACAGGAAAAAGACATAAGACTTCATTTAGGAAAAAGTTTCAATCTTTGGTTTCTTAGGCTCTCTTAACTGGGTCAAAGTTGGAAACCCCAGCAACAACACCTATGATCACTACAAGCACAACTCCACCAGCAGCAATGCTGAGCAAGAAGTTGTTCAAAGACGGCGTAAGCCCAGAAGTCCCTGCAGCCTCAGCCACCTCAGGAATCACCATGGAGGCTGTCAATGTCGCAGCTGCTAGGCCCGTCGCCGCCTTTTCTTTCAAAGAGGCCTCCACCTTGAACATGCCCTTGGGCTTTGGCTTCACAAAAGCAGCTTTCTTTGATGACTTCAATGGGACTGATTTGAAAAGTGCTTCTACGTTTTGGGTTAATCTGTTTTGGATGGAAGACATTAGTGGCATGGCCATTGAAGCAGAAGCCATTTCTTGGGCTAAATTTTGCTTGGTACAAAATGTTTGTGGTGTTATTTTTGAAAAGTTGGGATTGATAGCGTTAGATATTGGATGAGAAAATGGAGGCAAATGAAATGGTGGGTGGAAATTAGAGATTTGAAAAGCTGATGTGCCACATCTGAGTATTCCTATGTGGGTAAATGTCAGCCTGGGATTGGAGGATAAGGCTGTCCCCTAGATTTGATCTGCTAGAAACCGATTCATTTTCAAACTTGAATTCAGGATTTCATTTGTGAAAGCATGCATGGCACTTGGCAAATCACATGGTTTACATTTTGGATTTTCATACCTTGTATGTGCTCATTTTGAATTCAAATGGCACTCAATGAATAAGGAAAACTATGAGATCAGGTGGGACCAAAATATATAAAGTGTCATCGTTTTGTGATGTAGGTTGAATAATTCACATCGTTAGACGGATATGCGGAAGAGAAAATTGCGTACGAAAATCACTACCCTTCTTAAAACAACATGCAGATTTCCAAAGTCACTAGCCACCACCAAACGAAGTGCAGAAAATAGGAAACAAAAACTAAACAACATTTCATGCCAAATTCCTTGCTAGTCCACAGCAGTAATCTGAACTAGCTACTGAAACTAAGGTACTTAGTAAAAAATCCTACCGGGAAAAAGAACACAACCATCAAAAGGTCTTCCTTTTACCCCGCAAGAACTTCATTTACTGGCAATAGTCGCATCTGATTTAAGTTTGAGTGAGACGAACTTCTTGGGGCAGCAGATTGTACTTGATTTGGAGCTCTTCCAACATTTTCTTCAATTCGATGACTAGTTCAGTTCTCCGCTTATTCTTTTCTCCGAACTCTTGAAAGTTCATTGTGTGAGTGACATACAGGGCCATCTTTAATTTATTGAGATTTTCGAATTCAACCACTACCAGATCGTGGTTAGAATGCCAATGCTGCGAGTTACTATCCAAATGACTGAACAAGCAAAATGAAATTGCAAAGGAGTAAATATAAAGTAGCAGTAGAAATTGATGCTAGACTGTTAATTAAAACATTTTACTCAAGTGAAATCATGCGTGAATGTGCAGTTTGCACAACATAACAATTGTGATTATTCTAGTAGCGTAACATATCAGTTTATTTGACAGGAAACTAACATATATGTTTCTAGACCTGTGCTAGCCCGTACATAAACCAACAAAAGATTTGATTAACTCACTGTTTTATTCTCTCTTTCAGCATGCCTATCCTCTCCACTGTTGTCGAAAAAGCAACGTGGAATTCGACGATGTCACCCATGTTTGGACTTCTGTAGTAATTGCTGATGGCTTTTGTGGACAAAACTGAATTCGGATAGTATACCTTCTCCATATTGAGTTTCAAGAAGACTGTATTTAAGATGTTCATCTCCTCAACCATCAACTGTCAGGTTGCCAGGCTTTAGAAATTTGATTAAGGAAACCGAATGTAATGAAACAAGAGTTGAGAGAGTTACCGGAACACCATCAACAACACAGCGGTCACCAACATCAAATGGATGCATTACAAATACAAAAATTATAGCTTCAAATATAGTCTTGCAAGTGTTTCCAAACATAAAAGCTGCAACTACGAGCTGTGACGAGAGGAGAACAAGCACTTTCGTGGTTGCAATTTCCATCAATAAAAGCCACACTACAATGGTGATAACAACCAGGATGCCAGTCACAAGTTTGTTCAATTGCCTTACAGCTGTTTTGGTGTCGTTTAAAGCATGAGCTAATGCTTTGCGACCATTGTAGACCTTCACCTGCAAAAGCCGGAAGGCAAAAAATACTTCACCTCTTTATCCGAAAGAACTTTCTAAGGCAGACCACCAACAGCTCAATTCTGTACATGACTGAGGACTGCTGCTGTTTTCTTATCTACCTTGCGGTTCAACATTAAACAAAAATGGATTCCAAGTGCAGACGCTAATGAGTAATGGTGAAGGGAAACAATGTATATAGAAACAGACTCAAGTTACAAATTCCCTTTCTCCATCCCCCACCATAAGTTTTTAGATTGTAAGACATGCATGATTTTAAAATAAGGCATGTATGTGTATGATCAAGGAATAACAGTCCATGACTACAGAATCAATAAGTACAAGTGGGAAGTCCAGACACATGAAAATAAAAGGTCTTACCACCCAATCCGTTAGAGATTTTCGGTCAATACGTCCAGTCTCGTCTGCGTCAAACAGCGGAAACACAAGTTCCACCTCTTCTTTAATCATGAACCTCATGAGGTCCTCCTCCTCAATGTACCTACTCAGATGTAAGATGTGTAAGAAACACATGAAAAGGCACCTATATCACAAATAACAACTAAACAATAAGGTGGTTTTTCTCACTTGGAATCCGGTTGTGCAACATTACGAAAAATGTAATAGGCAACGGCGGTTGCTTCCATCTCATTAGTAATCTCCCTATCCGTCTGTTCAGCTCCTCCCGCTTCCATCTCATCCAATGCATGGGAGATGGTGGATAGCCCTGAACTCGAAACTGCGTCCACCAATACCTTCATGGTCCAAGCTGAAACCTTCTCTTGCTTCATCTTCTGAAGCTTTCCCATATCAATCACCTCTTTCTCCTTCCCAGCCTTAGCCTTCTTTGTCGTCCTGAAACTCACTTGCCCAGTGCTCGGACATTTCCCAACCCTCTCAGCCTCCTCTATAAGTGCCGGCCCTGAAAGTGTCTGAAGAACATACTGATGGAAGATTGATTCTTGGATTCTATCAAAAAAGGTGTTCACATGGAAACTAGATGCTAAAATCTTAAGGAACAAAGTTTTTAACAACCAGAAAAATGCCCCAACAAGAATGGAAACAAGAGTCCATGTGACATAATTCAAAATCTTGGTGGAAGTCTTTGATCGCTCGACCCCCCGATTGAACACCAATAGCCATGTGAGAAGAACCAGAGCCAACCAAATCGAAACCTGAACGCTCTTTTTCATGCCATGAACAAAATACAAAACCTTCTTCCTCAGCAAAAAATTCCTCTCAATCAGAAAAACTATGAAATGCATAAACCAGTTTGTAACCAACATTCCACAGAATATCACCATCACAAGCACACACCACTTCCAAATTTCCAAGCCCCAACACATATCATTCTTTAATTTCTCGATAGTCAAGCTAGACACTAAACAAGCCAGAAGTACCAGAAAAGTAACCCACTCAAGCAAGACCTTAGTTTTCATTTTCACTTTCCTATGGTTATCTCTACTCAATTTAACCTTCTTGTAAATCTCTTCATCCTCCTTCTCTTTGATCCTGCCTGGAGACGGCGGTATCCTCCCACTCCCGGAGATTGAAACACTCCTGATACCTGATTTATCATTTGGGGAAGGCCTATTGAATGAACCCCTATAAGGGGAATTTGCACCAACTTGATCTTCTTCAAACGTATTGTGATCAATGCCTACTGAGGGTTCACCAAATCTTGACTTGGGTTTCGAGTTAATTGACCTATTTAGTGACTTTCTCCTAGCAAGACTCTCATTGCGGGTGGGAATCTTGGGAGGCTTACCAGGACTGGCTCTCCAAAATTCAGGTGAAGGGGAGCTCACTGGGACTGAATGAGAGAATCCACTGCTGGACTCAGCCGATGCTTTGGCGGGTGAGCCCACTTTGCTTTGCTTGGGAGCTGAATATTCTGAGCCTTTTGAGGGAGATCCTTTTGCTGCATTGATCTCTTCGCTTCGAACTTCCAGTACAACTTCACCTCCATTGGAAGAAAGCTTCTCCGACATGCTTACTTCCCCGCCTTTCAAAAGCTTTTCTCTCTCTATGGCCTTCATTGCAACCCTACCACATCAAACATCACAAAAATCTTGCATTAAACCCCAACTAAACAAAACACCAAAATCGGAATGACATTCAAAAATGCGATTTTTCCGTACCCTTTTGGTAGATAAATCCCAAGTTCCCTCTTTTCTTTCAGGATTAATCAAATCTTTATTTTCCTAATTAAATATTGAATATTTATATCAATGGCTTTCTAACAACACCATAACAAACTAGTTTTGATCGAACTCTACAACATTAAACATCACAAAAAGCTTTCACTAAACCCCCAAATAAAGAAACCATGGTAAACCAGAAACAAAATCACATTTAAAAATTCTGACTTTTCAAACCCTTTTGGCAGATATATCCAATCTCCATCGTTTTAACCAAAGATTGAAACTTTACAACAAGTAATCTACTTCTGTTAACGTAACTGGAAAAGAAGTTACCTTGGCGCCAAAAAGATCAAATCAAACAGTACAAGGTGTCTAAAACAGTAAGAAACACTCTTCTTATTCACTTAAATATGTAAATAATCAGACTCACCACACCAGAGCTATTCACAGAGCAGAGACAGTACCCCACCAAGGAAAAAAATGGAAGATCATTCCAGCAAGTTCGTTGATTCGGTAGTGCAAAGCAAGTGGTTAACTAGATTGAAAACAAAAAATTCAAATCCAAAAGAAGAAATCGAAATTTGAACTTGGGTTGTAGGGTGTTTGAAACTTCGGCGATTGATGCTTTAAATAGTTGAGAAGGAGAAGAATAATGGTGATTTTATTAGAGATTGGTTTGCAGTTGCAATAGTATGTGATAAAATAAATAATGTGAAAGTGAAGGAGCAAAGGAGGAAGAGAAGGTGTGCAGACAACTCAGAGAGGGACAGATTGATAAGACAGAAGGTTGAGAGGGAGGAGGTATCGTCGTATTCTCATCTTCTTCTATCATTTCCGCACACATTATTTTTTATTTTATTATCTTTATAAAAAATTAATATAAGATATTAACGTGATTTAATCATAATTATTAAAATAAAGTAACATGAAAGGTTAAAGAGATTAGAAAGGTAGGGAATACTTCTCTGGTTGAGAGAGGATTCAAATGTTTAGGAAATGCAAGTTCCTAGGAATGCATATTAATATTGTTTACCACGTGGGCTACTTGGATATAAATATACATGTCAGAAAATTAAGATATAAAAGAATGATCTTAGATCTTCCACAGCAGGTTGGAAAAAATAAGTGGGCTGCTTGGAGACATTGAATTTATATGGAAATTACATTTTTATAGAGGGTTGGAAAATTTGAGTATGATACTAATTAATTGAATCGTGAGTTTAATATATCAAATTTATTAGTGTAGTACTAATATATTAAACTTACACTAATATAACAGTAGTGTTACAGAAATTAAACTCAAAATGTTTATTTTTTTATATATAACTATCATACTCTCTCGTAAACCACTACGAAAGATCTTGACAAAAAATTTGTAGATTGAGTAATTAACCACGTCTATTTTTATGTCTAGATTTACGTTTTCATATTTTCATCTCATAATGTCGTCGGTATCAAAAAAAGGAGGAGGATGGTGGTTGAATGTACCATCGGATGTGATGTAATGACTGAAATAGTTTGGTGAAATTGACCCCCCAAAAAAGAAAGAAATAGTTTGATAAAGACATTGTATTATTATGGTAATGTGATGTAACGAATATGAAGTCAGCAAGGGTAAAACTGGAATTTGGATGAAGAACAAGTAGGGTTTATGAGTTAATTATAATAAGGCTTTGCAGGTACGGGAGCATTTTTGCTCTCGCCGTAATTATAGTGCATGGACACTAAACGTCTAATTATTTGATACTTGTTATTTTATTTAATTGTAATTAATTTTCATATTAAATGTTATTTTTTAATTTTAAAAAAAATCAATTAAATTTAAGTGAAAAAACATGCATGATTTGATATACGATAAGCGTACATCATAATTTATAATGGTAAGCAAAAATGCTCACTACAATGACAAACTCAGGTGCTGTGGCCAACCACAAAGAAACAAGCAGCAATACAATCCCATTACGCAACAGTGATCGTCTAAATAAAGAATGAGAGAAAGTTGTTGAATGTTAATTGTTTTTACATTTTTTGTGCTAATTATCTCCACTAATTAATTAATATTCGATTAATACAATTATTATGGTTTATCTACGTGAATTAATTGACATGCAAATCTGTGTTTAATGCAGACAAATGAATGACCTCAGATCGGATGAGGATGGTGGGGAGGCCCACCAAAATTAATACAGTGGGCCCAAGTATCTGGACAGATCTTTGATGTTGGGTGAGAGGTACAGTTCGTATTAATTCTTCAGAGTACTAGTCCTGGTGCTACTTTCGCCCACCTTTGGCCCAACAATAAACATATACTCTCTTCTTTTTTTTTCCCACTGAATAAACATATGTTTGACAAAAAAAAATGTATTATTGGGTCTCACGTGAGAGATCAGTACGGATCAAACACGTCCAACAACACAGGTATTATTAGTAACTTATTAATTATCACGCATAATTTATCTGGTGTGAAATTTTATTACAAAAAGTTTCAATATAAGTTGAAATGGAATGTTTCAACAGTGTTCTCTATTTGATTTTCTTTTTTTCTTTTATGTTGTTTCCATTTCTTGAAAAATACTACTATATTAGCCACTTGCTTTACATGGTACTCAATGCTCGAATTTCTTGCACGTACGTTAGTTTGATGCAACTTAGATTATTTATTCATCTCTCGCTATATCTAGAAGGTTAACATTTTCTATTAAAGTTGTCGTTGTACACTGTTTGTATGACATTAGTCTACGTGCCATTAAGAGCGAACGATTATGACATCTTGAATAAGATAAGTATTTCATAAATTTGATGTTGTTTGTTGTCATTATAAAGAAAGTATAGAACATACTATTGTATGGCCTGAACCGCAACAATACTAAATGTAATAATGTAATTTGCCTTTAAAAATAAATTTACAAAAGTTGTAACATCTTGTGTTTTGAGTATGCATAAATATTTATCTTATATATAAAGCCAGAGCCACACTTTGGGGTCACGGCTTTGACAAAATATAATATGGCCAAAATGCCCCTCATCCAATAAAAATCAAAAGCAACAAAAGAGAATGCATAAAATAATACAAGGGTAATTTTGTAATTTTAACAGTGTTTTTTTTTAATAATTAATTTTTTGGTGCAATTTTATTTTTTATTTTTTATAATTAGTACCTTACAATGGACTAGCAATAATGTGATTCAATTTCTTTATTTTTAAACACGTTCAAAACATCTTAAGAGGCGTGTAATACCGGTTATAAAAAAAGTCTTTCACACGTGGATAATAATGTGATTAAATTAATTATCAAATGGTTGTTTTTTTTTTTTAACAAAAGATATTATCTACATTAAGGAAGAGTGTGTGAGTTTAGCCTCACAATGGGCTAGCAATAATATGATTCAATCAATTGTTTATTAAATATTATTTTCTCTATTCTTAATGTAAATTCTATAGAGACCGATTTTATTATGTGAATTCAGCTGCTTTAATTGGTTTATGAGGGGTTTCTTCTAGTATGATCTAAAACGATTCATTTACTTCAAATATTTGACTTTTCTTTTATCAATTTACACAATTAAATACATTTAAAATGTGTAAGTCATGTGTAACACGTCGTGATTTAAAAAATACATTTTGCAAGCACGTGAGCACATGCATAAATGCTAGTATGTAGAAAGACGAGTGGACGACATGGCTCGAGGCACCAAAAGTGAAATGGCCAAAAATATCTCCTAGCTATGCAATTGGTCATGGTTTTGATATCTTGGAACTTGTATTATTGCATTTCGAATAATAATATAAAGGGGTAATGATGGAAAAGTCAAATTTATACGCTAAATTTATAAACTAAAAGAGATGATTGAATTCTTATTTTACTGTTGATTAATATGATTATTTTTTATTGATGATATATAATTTAATTTGTAATTTTAACCTCTTAACATTATCATAATATAAAAGGTTGGTAGGATAATAAAGCCTTGATCAATCCATGAAACTACAAGACAAAAGGCCCTTATTTTAAAGAACTGGATTTGGCTGCTGAAAATTCAATATCAGGTGCTGTTTATATCTAATCCTAACTGAACACGTGTTTAAATTTTGATTTTAAGCAGGATATGCTTCTGAATTCTTCAGCAGCCAAGTCTTTTCCTATTTTAAAAGGAAGGGAGTGAAACGACATGCAAGCTTTTTACCTTTATCGTTTTGTTTTGTGTGATTAATAACGACGTGTGAGGCATGATTTGCAATTGAAGCGTCGCTTTGGTGCGCGTCAACTTTATCTTTTAAGGGTTGATTGCAAAGTTAAAGACAAATGCAATACGAACTTGATTACATCGATCTTATGTGAGTTTATTTATTCATAAACTAATCATATATTTATTCTACGACTTGATCGACCAGGGTCTCCTGGAGGTAATGGTCCTCTCTCTCTTTGGAGAATGTAGGGCGTTTTGCACTGTACATCGACCGATTCTATAGAGCTGGTCTTGCTTAATCATCTTTTATTTAATTACTTCATAGTTTGTTAACCTAAACTCATTGCTTACGTACGTATGCAACTCAACAACTTTGACTTTATGAGATATTTGATTGAAGTAATAATATCCTAATTGCTTAAATGAACGTCCAAACTGATTAGATTAACATTAACATAAGCATATGGTTGTCAAACTTCAATAAAACAATCTGTTTTGAAGAGCCTTCAAACTACTTGTAATGGCGGCAAAGGATGGTCTCACTGACGCATCTGCATCCCATGAAAGGCAAATTAGGTCAATTAGCTCCCCAAGTTGCCCATCATGATCATCAGCCAGTTTTGGCCTTAGGTTGTCCTCCACAACTTCCATCGCAATCTACAATGAAAAATCACTAGTTGATTAGTATTATTTTCCACATGATTAATTTGATTATTATTATTTTCATTTACTTATTGTTCATGTCATGTTTTAGTTAAAATTTTAACGAGCATTAATCACACATAAGCAATATTTCATTGTTAATGCGTTGCAAATTTAGCGTCATGGATCACTAGAAAATCCCTCCGTACAACTTTATTATATCTTTTTATTTCCTTGAGACAAGGTGGGTTGTTTCTTACCTTAATGGGACCGTAATCTTTCTCAATGTAAGGATAATCTCCAGTTATAAGCTCATTCAATAAAATCCCAAAACTGTATATGTCGCATTTTTCGTTATAAGGCTCGCATTGGATGACCTCGGGTGCCATGTACACATAAGTTCCTGCAAATAATTAAAGGTAATTAACGAACAAATTAAGACATAAATCACTTAGTTAACACAGATACATATGAATAAATCAATCATTTAACACACAAATCCTCGCCTGTTTCGCCAGTGAGTGCCTTCTCTTCATCACTCAGGAACCGAGCATGACCAAAATCCGCAACTCGTACATGGATAGCATCGTCCAAAAATATGTTGCTAGGCTTGAGATCACGATGAATCACCATAGGCTTTTGTCCATGAAGATACTGCATGGCTAGAGCAATCTCCAATGCCCTAGCGACCCTTTCTTTGAGCGGAGGAAGTGGTATCATCCTCCCTTTTCGCCTATTTCCAGGGCCGTGAAGCCACTCCTTTAGTGTTGTACTCATGAACTCCGTCACCACCCAAGCATAGTTAGGAGGATCGAGGCATGCACCCATTAGCTGAAGTATGTATGGATGTCGCTGCCTACATAAGGTGTCAAGCTCTTGAGCAAAAAATGCGACACCATTGTCGTTCGTTTCAAAGAAATCAGGGTACAAGCATTTCACTGCCACTTCAAGTCCATGCCATGTTCCTTTGTATATGTGAGCCGTACTCCCCTGCCCTATTTTTTCTTCAATCTCAATCTAATCCAATTTTCACCATACATGAATAGATACGTTACCATAGGGTTTTAGGAAATTTGGCAAGTTACATTGATCAAGACTGTACATCAAAATTACACATTCATATACTAATTTTGCTTGATTAACAATTTTTGTTGACAGTCTGACAAAATAGCATGCTAAACCATACAAAACATAATGTACAAATTTTAAAGGGTAAATTACATTTTCGTACCTCAGGTTTGAGGTCTATTTCAATTCCTTACAACATCTTCAAAACATTTCACTTTCATACCTTAAATATTATTTTATTTCAAAATAATACCTCCGTTACATTTTTCATCCATTGATTTATTAAGTGCTGACGTTGCTGCCACATATATGTCAAGTGGCTGCCAAATGTCTGCTACATGGCAAAAAATATTTATATATAAAAATAAAAAATAAAAAACTTCAAAAAAGGGGAAACCCACCTCTTCTCCCTCCCAAGCATCCCAATATCCAAAAAAATCCCATAAATCATCTTCACGAAGGAGAAGGAGGAAAAAAATCATAGAAATCATCTTCGTCGGGGGGGGGGGGGGGGGGCGGGCACGGGAGGGATAGTTTCAATTTTTTTCCCCCCTTTCCTCCCTCCCTCTTCCTCTTCTTCTTCTTCTTCTTCTTCTTGTTGCAGATATGGGTCAGTTGGGAGGGGGGAGGGATAGTTTCAATTTTTTTTTTTTTTTTTTTTTTTTTTAGGTGAGAAAATTCAGGTTTTGGGTGGGATGTAATGGGTTTTTGGATGGGAGGGGAGGTGAAGAGAGGGAGGTGGTTGGGATGCTTGGGAGGGAGAAAAGGGGTTGCGGGGGTGGGTGGGTTTCTGCATTTTCAAGTTTTTTTTTTTTTTTTTAATTCATGTTTAAAAAAAAAATTAAATTATTTTTTTTTATCACGTGGTAGACATTTGGCAACCACGTGGGATATATGTGGTAGCCACATCAATATTTAACCGATCAATGGATGGAAAATGTAACGAATGTATTATTTTGAAATAAAATAGTACTTAAGGTATGAAAGTGAAATGTTTTGAAGATGTTATAAGGAATTAAAATAGATTCTAAACCTGAAGTATGAAAATGTAATTTACCCAATTTTAAATTTGGGTCACAGAAGACCTACCTCTCCTGGGTGGATGTACCATCCATTTAGCTGGGCTTGATCAATAACAGCTGCTAGATCAGAAGAATGGTGTGGTTGACTTGCTGGAAATTGCGGGATGGCATTTGGAGTGACAACATTGGAGGAGGGCGGGCATGGTTGTGGGCCAATGTCTTTGGAGTTGTGAATGAGGTTCAAGAATCCATTATCTTGGGCTACTTGTAGGCAGTGCCCAAGATAATCTTGTGTTCTTTCCATATTCTTCTGATGCATAATTTGAAGCTCTCTCTCATTTAGGACTCTCTTTTCCAGCTCTGCCACCTTAATTTGCAGCCAAAACCCAAAATATGACAATTCAATTCAACAAAAATGAGTATTTGGTTTTCATAATTTCGTAGTTTGTTACAAAATACATATACTACAACTACATGTTTGTTAAAATCGAATTGTTTTCTCCAACTTTATATTGTTGAACACCAAAAAGCTCGTCTACGTTCATCACACTAAGAAAATTTGAATATGTAGTGACGAAAACATTCATTTAGAATTCATCACTGGAAAAGTTATAGAGATGGGGTGTATTTTTCTTTTCTTTTTGTTGAACATAAAGATACGCTTGTTTGATATTAATTGTAATTTTCTTCAATTTAACAGTCACAATATTACGTCTTATTATTTATTTAGTGTAACAGCCACTTATCAAATAGCTTTTATGCAGGACCAAAGAAACATATGATACACGAATATTGGGTGGGATTTGACCATCGGACGCATCAAAAACAAAATCTTGTATATATAGACGTGAGAAAATTGAAATAGATGAGTATTTCTGTATTGGGATTCGTGATCGACCTTATGATGCATGCATCTCCCAAACTAGCTAGATGCTATATTAAGAGAGGGGTCCAAACTAACCTAGTTGAACCAAATTAACACATTTGACAAATGGGTAATACTAGGAAAATTAAATTTGAAGACAAAAAAGACATGAAAATTGATGATTGATTTATTACTTAAACGTTGATAAACGTGCTTATTCCTATTAGTGTTTATTCTTGTTAGTGACACTCTTGAAAAACTTCAAAGCTAAGAGAGCTAGGTTGTGATCCAAACAAGCATATATACCTGTTCCGCAAACAAAACCAAAAAAAAGAAGCATATACCTGCTGCTCTAACTTAGAGATCATTGGATGGTGGTTCATAGGAACAACGTTAACTGACTCCGAACTTGAGCAGCCATTCGTCCCTTGGCAACATCCAGTTGAGGTGGCGGTGACGATGTTAGTAGGCACTACTTGCTTTGCGCTACTTGAATTGGTTTTCGCCGACTGTGGAGACCCAAATATGGAACCCTTCTTCTTGAAATAGTTCATGCTAGCTATTCTATTTTCCTATATGCTAATTACGATTAAATGGGGAGAAGATGCAAAGAGGGGAAGCTTAATAATAGTTTAATGGTGTTTATAAGGTGTCCCAACGTTTGTTGTTTAGTTCATGCAATAAAACAATCTGGGCGGATTTTGTGATGTCAATTATTTGTTTTTATACAGCTCATGTTGATGAGGCGATAAAGTCTATGAATATGAGAAGGGATGCCAAAAATTACAGTCTGGGCGGAATTCACTACTATAAATTATGTGGATCCTTCTAGTAGTAGCTATGGACTTGAAGCACAAAAAAATTACAATATTACCACAAAAGTAGCGTGAAGATAGAGAAATTGATTCGAGATAAAGAGTTGTGCTAGCGTCGGTCGTTTTTTAGACGCAACAATATCTCATCATACATTGATTATTGTAAGATTTATGTTTCATTGACAATTTAGGTTTTGATTGACCCGAGTGAAATCTATCTTGCAATTATATATCAATATATGAGCTAACATTGTACTGCTCAAATTGACGGTAGCGATACCCTTCGACAATTTGAATCGACTGAAGTGTCCAATTAATGAATAGGTAATTAGGTTGTCATTGCTCTATGTTTAAATGTATGCAAGTATATGGGGATGGATAGAGAGGAATATGAATCTTGAAAACCCTAACTACTGTTATTACAAGTAAGTGGTCCTGCAAGAACTTCAACTCTTAAGTCACAGATCATGACTTTGGTAGAAGAAAGGAGAGGACGGTGGTGCTAACAAACAATTAAGATTGTGAAATTTTCACCTCGGGATCGACAATCACTCATTAGCTTTTGTGACTTTGTCTTTTACTCTTTCACCACCCGAATAGCCAAAAAATAAAAGTAGTGGAACCTAATCAAGTGAAGACCGAGGAGGAGGAGACTGTGGACCATTCAGCGATCGTAATCTTGTTGAGAGGAGCTGGCCCTGCCTCAGGGCGCAGGGCTCATCCTGTCAGTCTGGCGGTCCTCGCCCTTTTCCCCACTTCCACGCTGGTTTGTTCAATATATTTCACAGTTTGATTAGAAGAAAAAGAAAGCATGCATGTTAGATACAAGTTAAACTACACAAGTAGGGATAGAGCAACAGTAGGAACAATGTATTTACGATATAGAACGTCTGATAAAGTTCAACGTACGTATTTGTAAATGGAAGGTGGAACTTGATTCCTGTTTTCCCATGATTGACAACTTTATTTAACTTGAGAAAGTTAAATTACTGTGTATATTTATAGGGTAGAGTTTTGCAGGCTTGATTTGACTAATGAACTTCATCTGCAACTTAAGATGACATAAAAATTATGCAGAAAGCAGCAAAAGAATCAAGGAAGCACAGTTTTTGAATTGAGCAATACAACTACTACTGAGATCCATTTTTGTTGGTGAAGAAGAAAGGTGCATATTAAAATCTAAAGAAAAGGATAACACAACAACTTGCATAATTATTCAACACATAGTTCGTATTTGAACATCGTCGTTTGATTTACACTACTCAGTTTGTACTATGTTTGAGAAAATCCTGAGCTCAAATCTAAGGGACGATAGTTGTTGATTTTAAAATATTGTTTGTACTGCACATCATCAATTTTCATCCAAAGATGCCTATATTTTTATTTTGTTGATGGGGATACTGAGTTCAAATTGATTTAAAAACATTGTATTTGGAGTTATTAATTATGAACATGATTAGTGATTTGTAAAACCTAGAAGCTAGAAACTGAGGATGGTCCAAAAGTGGTAAACGATTACTCTCCTTCTTCCTCCACACACCACCCACATTATTCTTCTAATTATTGCCGGCAACTCCCCACCACCCCACCCACCGTATGGAAATTACCCTAAAATAAGCGAAATTGAATTCATTCATTAACATTGTTAATCAAATTGCTTAATAATTTACTGATACATTTCAACCCTTGGAGCCTTGAAGTTCTGTATCTGACTCCTTGAAGGACAATACTTCCCTCATTTCCAAAAATGTGGAAAGTCTAATCATTCCCTAAAAGTTAATGCAACATTATTTCTACATACAATAAGAATAATCGAATCATTCATTCTCTTTATCATTATTCAAATATCATCTTGAAGTTTGAGACCCTTTAGACATTTATATGTTTCTAACAAAATGATTATGATAACAAGTGTTGACAGTCAATTTTTATATGAATGAATATGGTCTTCAAATTGGAAGAATTTTTCTAGAAAAGATATTTAAATAGAAAATTTCAATGAATAAAGTTTAGTCAGCCTTGTTTTTAAGTTAGTTAATCATATGATGATGCTAATTTTGACTTAGAGAGAGACATTTCGATTCTTGGCATCAAGACTTTGAGACCCAGAGTTGAATCTGCATGCTCATCACGTACCACTAATCTTGTATATTAATAATAAGCAATTATTAAGCATCTTTCAATTTGATCGTGCTCGATCAGTTAATTTCTTAGTCGCCACAGCAAATCATCAGTCCTACAACTCATCCTCTTGTCCCCTTTTTTCACTACTTGATATAATAACAAAAATATAGCTACCTGCATTGGCATGGCACTTCTTCACAATATATTGTGACATATAATAAACAAAAAATTTATAATTATACGTACGTATTGATGATTGCCACTTGGCGGCTGCACTTGCAAAGCATATATGTATGAAGGCTAATACTAGGGAGATCAAAATTTTAAACCAAATGATGTAGATGTTAGTGATTGAATTATTACTTAAGTACTGATTAACATGCTTATTTCCTATTGGTGATACATCGTTTAAAAATTTGGTCTCCCTAGTAATATTCATGTATAAATGTATTATGTAACCACAGTTCACGTACGTGTTTAGTTAGGAAAGTGAAAAAGAACAGTTGGAAATTTGAAGAGATGGAGAATCCATGAAACCAAAGACTCGAGTAGGGGATGATGAAATGGGGATGCTAACGCAACGTTCAAGTAACAAGGGTGCCAATTTCCCCAAAATCCAAAATATATTTACAAAAATCCAATTCCAGAGAAAGAGAGAAAGAAGAAGCAAAAGCAAATGCTTTAGGACTCACTTTCTCTATTCCCATGGGCGAAGATCTGCCTTTGCCTTTGCCATCACACCCCCATCTTTTTTCTTCATAAATTTCATCTCATTTCATCATAAATGTTCTTCCCGCGATCACTTAGTGATTGAATAATATGTGACAATTAGGTTAGATATCAATTGTAGAGAATATATGTACGTAATTTTACTGTTTTAAACCCAACTATTGATGCTAAATTCAATGGTGAATAACCATGTATCATTGATCACCAGATGACCAAGAAAGCGGGACTATTCATTTCATATCATTTCTCAGTTTCTTGCTTTGGTCGCTTGCTTGTGATCAGCATCATAGAATCTTTTCATTTTTCTCTTGCTCTTTTTCTTTCTTCCACCACCTTTTTTTCCCGTTCCTATCAAGCTCTCTGTCAGTCTCCATCTGAGTGTTTGATCATGATCCATAAGGTAACGAATCCCCATTCCCACCTCTCTTTCTTTTCAGAAAAATCAAACTCTCTGTTCCCTCACTTTTTCTCTTTTTTACATCCCCCAGATTGCCACCTTCTTAGTCTTTCAAGCTTTCTTTTTCCCAACACAAAAACAAATAAGGTGCAAGAGGCACCACTCATTAAAATTTGCCAAGTCGAATTAGAATCTATCGCTTAGAAGTGGGTTAGGTCAGTTAGCAAAGACAATGTGTTTGCCTTTTTTTACTCAAGGTCAATCATCTACCCCATAAATTAAAGTAACTTAGAATATCGTCTAGTCCTGTTTTATAAAGAGTCACGTTTTTGTTTCCCCTTGTAAAACCAATTCGATTAATTAGTAAAACAAAGAGAGAAAACCAAGAACAAATCTAGTTCTATAGTTGTATTTGCTGTAATGAAACTTGGAAGAGAAATAAAAAAATAAAAAAACCTACATTGTTAACTACATTATTAAGCCATTAGCAATGGCGCGATTTGTACGAACGTGTGTGGTTTCGTACACCGGAAGCTCTTCAAGGTACCTTTCTTTCCCGATCACCGAAAGGTGATCAAGCTCGAAAAGATCCGAACTCGAACAACTAGCAGCATCATCGTCATCACCTTCATCACCGTCACGACAATCGCTGCTCACTAATTCATTCTTTACTTGGTTCCGACGGCAGTCTCTCAAAATCTCTCTGGCCGCTTCCTCAACTCTTCTGCTTTTCTCCAACACTTGAAGCTTAAGCTCCTCCTCGGCTTTTCTCGCTGGCGATCGACCAATTTTCCATGCGGTCGGAACAGTGACCGGCATTAGGGTTTTATCCTCCCCTTCGTACAAGCATTTGTGTCCACAAGGCCTGCAATCTTCGTCAACGATCACACTCACCGGGGAGAAATGAACCGATCTTTTAACCCCATTTCGCAGTTTTTCTCTCGTAGATGGTGAGTTCTTACTCAAACATGATCTCGAAAACGAAGAGGCTGAAGAACATGTCGAGTCTTGCCATGATTTCAGTTTCCTCTCCGCAACCGCTTCCTCATACCCTCCAATTGATGAAGTGCTCTTTGTTTTCTTGGTCTGCCCTGCAGTGAAGATAGAATTGAGGAAATTCGCAACGCGGCCGCCTGGCGAAAGCGGCTGTTTCACCTTCTTTAGGTTGCTGTAAATCTTCAATGCCCTCGATTTCGACTTAATTATACCTTCATCGAGCTTCGGAGTCGGATCCGATGCACAACTGTAGTGATAGTCATCGAACAAGTGCACTTCTCTCTGTTCATAAAACAGAGTTCTGTGTTTTCTCTCTGTTTTTTCCTCTGATTTGGCCGACCGGGTGGAAACGCTGGTGCGAACCGGCTTCGGCCGTGGTGGTGCAAAACACGAGGACCTCGACTTAGACCCGAACATGGACTCCGCATCCGAGGAGGAGAACCCGCCGGAGCTCGAGTCAGAGGAGCTAGAGGTGGAGCTGAAAAACATAGCATCGAGATCACGTTGGTGATCACGGTCTAATTTTCGGTCCAAATCACCCAAATGCTGTCTTCTTTGACCACCAACCTTCTGGCCGACCTTCATCTCCATCCATTTCTCGATCAAACAAGCTCGGCGGAGGCTGGCCATCTCTTCTTCTTCCACTACTCTGCCGCTTTTCGCCCCGCTTTTGCTCTGCTTCTTCGGCATTGTTTCGTTGTAAAACACCGGGTCCTCGCGGTTCTTCGGCGATCCCTCGTCAATCGAACGGTAAATTTTTTCGAGAAGAGAGGATGAGAAAGAAGGATTTTTCTTTTCGTGCCTGTATCTGTCTTCCCTCAGCTTATTTTCCCACCTTGACATTTTTGTTTGTTGAGAAATAGGCTAGAAAAATGTATAATTTGAGGTTTTTAGCTACAGAAGTGTAGCTTTTGTGACTTTTTTGTGTTGGCTGAGAGAGAATCGAAAGCTGCAGTGGAATTGAAAATAAGGTAGAGAGAGGATGGACAATGTTTGAGCTGAGCAACCTAATTGGTAAATCGACGACTCAATCTGAGAGAGAGAGAGAGAAGAAAGAGAGAGAGAGAGAGAGAGAGAGAGAGGCAATGAGAGCGAAGTGGCACGCCTTGGAGATGGAGTGAGGAACAGGGGAAGAGAGACGGGGGGGTATATAAAGCTCGACGCGCGTGCATGTCCACCCCAACTGGAGCCAATGCCAGATTGGCATCGGATGACGTGGCTTGAAATTTGCCTTTTGATGTGACTAAATTACCCCTTCCTTTGACTAGGAAATGGCGGTCTGACCCTTTGATGGCTCAACCTTCCAGTTATAATTTGAAGCCGTTGATCGTGTTCGGAGGAGGACAAGCAGACAAGCGTTTGTAAACGACAATTGCTGGAAACCCTAGTAATAAATGGCGGGGCCACGTCTTGTTGTGAGGTAAGGATTTTTATTTTTTACATTTTTTTCTAAGAAAAACTAACAAAAAAAAAAAAAAAAATTTGTTTTAATGAAAAATGACAAATAAAGATGTAATGAATAGTACTAAAAAAAGATAAAAATATGATTTTTCGTTAAAAATAAATAATACTAAAAGTGTTTCGTTAAAACTTCATTTTTTCTAAAATGAGGTAAAGTTTTTGTTCGTAGGTAATATGTGGATTGATGCAAATCTTTTATTAATAATATAATTATATTTTTACACTAAGGACTAAAAAGGATGAGAATTTAAAGTACAACAGGGAGAGTCGAATTAAAAACTATTACTTATAAGTAAAGAGAAATGCTTTTAATTCATAATATTAGTGTGGCATTTTGTTTTCTCAACCCTATGTTTTTAAATAAATAAATAAAGCTCAGGCTTACAAGGGCAGATGATTCGAAAGAATTTTATTTTTTTTTATTTTTTTTAAAGTATCAAGTATTTAAACGGTACTTTATATGTTATAATACAAGTGTAGAAAATGATATATTTTTTTATGTCTTTCTTATTTTAGGACACATGAAGTACCTGTCTCGAAATCAGACATTGAAATTCCTCTAGGTGATTGAGATTGAATAAATAAGCTAAGTTAATTGAATTATTTAATTGAAATGTATGATAAAGTTTCTCTTTGCACAGTACATTAAAAATATAATCTGACACAATGGGAAAAAACTAACACAATACACTTTTAGGGGGAGTGTAGTGCCCGTGATGTAAAAATGTCTCTCACACATACGTGAGTGCATGCGAAGAGACTAGTTTAATTGAAACGAGGAAAATTTAAATTTTTATTATTGTGATCATGTTTGGTAGATGAATATAATCCAATATTTTTGTTCGAAATATTCCATTTAAAACTATTAATTTCATCAGCGGTTGAGATAGTAATCAAGTTTTGGAATTTCGTGGGAATGTTTTATAAAAAGGTATTTTTTTTTATTAATTATATTAAAAAAAAAAAAAAAAGAAGGTGTACGGTATATATTTTAGGTTTCGGATTGAGCTGGCATAATTGATTAATTTTTAGGTAGCAGTCACGATATACCAATAAGATGAAAGGGAGATAATTCAATTACAAAATATGATCTTTCCTTTTTCTTTTTTTTTTTTTTTAAATTTGTTTGCACCTTATATTTTGGTGGGTTTGTTTCTTTTTAAAATACTTAATTTAGCCATTGAATTATTTTATCTATTATCTTTTTGGTGGAAGTTCAAGTTATTTTCAAAGGTAGGTGTGGCATTTTTTGAAAAAAAGCAATGTCGATAATTTATTGATTCGAGAAACATGATTGCAACACAATTATAACACAGTGCCAACTGAGTACATCTTTTTCAATGACCAAATCCTTAATCTGAAAAGAATAAGCGCACAACAAATAAGCGTGATTAATCTCCTATATAGCAAGTACAATGACCAAAAAACATTCAAACGATTGGGATAACATTTTTTCTAGTTGTGTTTTTATGGATTCTTTTTAATCTAAACAAAGGTACTAACAAAACCCATAAACCATTATATTACACTGTTTAGGTAGAACCAAAATGTTAATTAAATTGCTTACCAAATATGGTACTTTAAATTATATAACCGTCAACGTTTGCAAGTAGAGAGAGGTTAATAAGAAAACAAAGAGAAACAGATGGATTTACCAACAAAAGATGCTTGTTGAAATTACTAAAGAATTACAGAATCTTTTTTTTTTCTCTTCAAGTGATTCTTATAAGAGTTGAGGGGCCCCATTTTGGTTTTTTATTTAATTATGATATTTTGAATTTGAAAGAGGTAAAGCTCTATTACCGGAAATAAAATGTAATCATGGAAATTAGCCTTTAACCGCGCGGTTGATTTGTTGAAGGAGCCTGTGGTCTGTAAAATTGGCCTTTAAACTTAATCATGGAAATTCAATTGGGGAGCTTCTAATCACGCTGAAAACGGCTCTCTGGAGGAGCCTTAATGAAGTTTAAAAACTCAACGTGTTGACTTTTACTGAAACTTCAAACTGATTCCATTTCATGAGGTTACGTTGTCATCGTGTTACTAATTTATATGTTATAGGATGGGTGAATGATTCATATTTTATGCACCTATAATATTAAAGATTGACCGAAATAGAAGGTATAGTAAAACACACGTTTATATATGTGTTATAACTTATAAAGTGAGTTGAGCGTGACATGATGGGTCGATGGTCACACTAAAAAATTACTGATATTGGAATTGGAAGACACTTGAGCGCATTTAATTGATTAAACCCTACCCGGAACCATTGACAATGATCAATAGCAAATAACCATGTCCACATTAATTATATGAACTAGGCGATCAAGAGTACGACTTATATTTGTTCCTTCCTAGTTGATAAAACAAACAAAACCATTAATTAAGATGAAAAGGATGGCTTTGGACTTACATATCAAGATCCAACAAACCCCGCCAATTATATTACATGGGAACCAACGATCTGCCCCCGAAACCCTAGCCAGAATCACATGTTTTAGCCATTTTTGTTTGTTCATGTTCATCCATCCAAGGACATATGCTATGATGCCTGCAACATCCATGGCCCTTTATGCACCCTAACCGTATGATATAAAGTGGTGTGACACAGAAAGGCCTTTGATTTGGTCTCTTAATCGGATTTCAAGCAGTATCCCAGCCATTTGGGTTAGTGTTTATAATAAGATACATGTAAGGTGGCTTCCACCCAACAATTAGATAATGATCTTATGTACTTTCACGATCTGATTGTCATGGATCTTCTAAAGATTATATATCTATACTGAAAATGTTTTTTGAGAAAATATTTTTGGAAACAATTTTTAGTAAAAATACAAATGAAACCTTAAAAAGTGCTTCATACAAGAAGCATATAACTCGTGTTTCATGCTTCTTGCAAGAAGCACTTTGCTTTTAGAATCCAGATTTTTTTTCGCTAAAAGCGCTTTCAGTCATTTTAAAAGCACTTCCAAATGAGCCTTTATAGTATAGGGTGGGAGATTTGGGCTAAGATACAGTATGTCATGTATAATAATTTATAAATTGAACTTGTCATCTATATATGTCGAATTTAAGACTTCTCACTTATAAGAAAATAAATAATTCTAGATAATAATGCAAAATGATATAGAGATCAAATACGTAGGCCCTATATTTGAAGCTTTGGTCAAACGACTCGAACCAATGCATTAAGCTGAGAAAAATATACATATATAAAATCAAATCTGAAATCCTTTCCCAGATTATAATTAGAATTCAAGATAATATTCAATCGATCTAAGGAGTCCCGCCCACCTAATCAGGTCAGTTGAGTTATAAACCTGTGGACTAAAGTTCACATTTTTTATTTCACTATCCATCTGTTCATCAAGTATTTCATATAAAAAACTAGTTTAGATTAAAGATAAAATCGGAAGTTATACAATTAAATCTTCTTGAAATTATTCAAAATATAATCGTTGGACATATAGGTGAATAATTCAAATTAATTAACATTCTCAATGGATCATGTGGATTTGGTTGCGAATACGGATGCGATTCATTAAATAATACATGGTATGTAACACATATAATGTAATTAATATTCTTGAGTAATATTTTATTATCAAACTTACGTTGCGTACTGTACTACGTATTAGGGCAAAAGTTTACCCAGAATACAGTCCCAAATTTGCTGTTTTACAACATGAACGCAGCAACCAAACAGTATCTTTTGTTTGCAAGCATGTTGGGCACCTAGAAAAAGATTTGTCATTCATTTGTTTTCACCTTCTTCTGATCTTGTTTTACTGTTTCTTTTCCTTATTTAGAAGGGGGAGCAAAACGCAGCGTTAAAATCAGCGCAGTACGGACTGTGATACCATTGGTGGGGCCACTGAAGTTCCAGTTTTCCAACGCAGATTTACACGGTCACGGATAATGGACGGTCAGATTTGAGCATCACGCGTAACTCGTGTGGACCTGATCCTACTCATGGGGTGTGTGTGGGGACCATGTAATTGCTCTCGCTCTGTCCAGTACGACACGCTCTTCTACACGTGCGAACACGGGGCACTTTGTCCTTGGCTTTCTTCACACGCATACGTCATGCACGCTGGTGTAGTGAAATTTATTTCACCCAAGCCATTGTCCTCGCCACGTGTCTAGGCTCTTGAGTCTATCTTTGATGGGTGCCACTTTCAAATGCTTTGGGACAAACCACAGTCTGTATTCTTATTATGAAACGATGAAGTTATTGATCCTGTTGAACCCAGGTTGAGTACGCAGGATTCACATTGGTGGAGCCAGCAACATGCTTTGGGGGACACAACATTGTGCCATCGACATAACCCATTAGATCACTACTTTTAAGAAAAGGAAGCATTTGAGCCAACCATAGTGGGTAGTCGTTTGATGTTCAAGACAGTGGAGAAGGGCTGGAAGGTGTAGTTTTTGGGGTTGGGGTTAATGGAGGGGACATTATTTTTAGCCATGGAAGCGTTGATGGAAAAGATGACAGGCGAGAGGATCTTGTTGTCAGACAAAAAAAGCTCTAGAAACCATGTAAAACTTAAGAACTCAGGTTTTTTCAAGATGATTGCATACCCATTTAACTATGGGATGCTTGTATTTATACTTGCTTCATGATTACATCAGAGGGT